ATACTATTTACAGCCGATTGTCTTTAAATGCGGCGTGGTTTGTATCTCCTTTCCAGACCACATCGAACTACGTAACTGCGCAGGCTCTTCTGCCGGATTGAAATAACGGGCTTGTTCCGTTCCCCACGCTAAATGTATATGTACAATTTTGTAAGCACTTTGTACACTCTCACACTCGTATTGACTTTTCATCTCTTGCCGTAAAGGTTTTTGTGCAAACGTAATGTGTACTATTTTCTCTTAAGATATGCACTATTTTGTTCCTTGTATAAGGGGATGGCTCAGTTCACCTCCTGAAAAAGTGTCGACAATATCATATTAAATATCTATTAATAGTAAAACCTCTATATCTGTGTTGTGGAGGGGGTGATGTGGGGTGGTGGGGGCTCGTAGGCCGTACGCGTATATTAATAATTTAAACGATTAATTAAATTTATTAACAATTATTTAAGATTTTTATTAGAGATTTCTGTAGCCGAGTAACCGAGTGCCTGTACTCGTTTCCGACTCCTGGCCGAAGAAGCGGTGAGGCTACGCTGGCGATGGTATGAGAAATTCACCAGTGGCGGTGAGACTACGCGGGTGACGATATGAGAAATTCACCAGTCAGCGCCCCGGGCGAGCTTGTGGTGAGTGGCCGGCGCGGGCTTTTTGAATTCACGCCTTACGATAAACATAAAATCGGCCCCACTGCAGCACTGCCATGTCGAAATCGTGCATCCTTCGTTGCGTCCCCTGCACCACACTCGCCGTGCAGAGGCGAATCCAGAGGGGGGAGCACGATGATATATCAAAAGTTCCCTGCCTACAGGGGCAACATGCGACTTTTTTCTTCACCGCTGAGAGCCTAGAATAAAAGCAAAGTGCGATCTGCCGGTAGGAGCCCACAACGTACCTCTTTAGCGATGTCAGGCTGAACTGTGCCTGTGTTGTGTGGTTTTGCTGGCAGTTTGGCACTGGTTGGCAGGGCCCGGACCCTCGGACCCAGGGCCCCGCTGCCTAAGGCCTAAGTGTGTTTCCGCGGGGTCGCCTGCACTACTGCGGCTGGACGCACCCACAGACAGTCTGTGTACGTACGCCACGCCGACGGGCAGGGGCGCACGGTCACAGCCCGGCCAGACCATTGAACGTGACCCTCGTTGCGAAGCGTCGTCATGGGCGTGATGGTCTTCCCTCGTGTCAGGGCGTTGGCCAAGGCGCAAAGCGGAGGCGGGAGCACACCCTCCTGCTTCGCGACACGGGCTCGGCCCTTGCGTTGTTGCCACCGCCACCTCCAACGCCGTGAACGGGAAGCAGGTGTTTGCATAGACTGATTCTGCCTTCACCACGCACAGGGCATTTCAACATGCAGGGAGGGGAGAAGTGGGGAGGAGGGGGGTGGGGGCGGGGGCTGGAGAGCTCTCTGGTGAGGAACTCACGTGGGGAGCCCGCATCGCGATGTCCCTCTTCGTTGTGCAGGGATCGCGCATTGAAAAGATAATTTCTGCCGCCTATAGTTTAACTTCTTCACTTGCAGCCCTTCTCCTTTCTGGTGTATCCTCCACTGGTAAAACTAAAGCTAAACTAAACTAGACCTTTGACGATTTTGCTCATTTTTGGCTCTAATGCTACCTACCCAAAGGTTAACACCCCCACATAATTTCAGCCCTCTGGGTCAGTTGGTATGGGAACTGAGAGCAATCAAAGTTTTTGGCTCTTTTGCTTCAGTCGTTTTTGACCAAATTGCACTTTTTCACTGAAGTGCTCCGGAATTCTCTTCTTTTCGGTCCTGAGGTATGAAAATTGATACCGGAATGTAAAATTGAGTGGCAAATCTGAATCTGCACGCAGAATCGACTCCAAAGCAGTCCATCGTTGATAACAACGCACTCCAAGCCAAAAGTGACATTTTTTTTAGTGTTTTACAACCTTTAATTTTCTACCTATCTCGGAATCCAAACTGGACCCGTCTTACGCGGGAAATCATTCCTCAGACAACTACCTAAGCGGCTTGATTTACCGAGGGTATGGGTATGGTTCGGGCGCTGCAGTACTCTCAACATTGACGCTGAATGTTCAACGCAATGAGATCTAATCGATCGGTGCGTCTGACAGCAATTTGCATAAAGATTTTTTGTTCAAAATTGGATTTCCGGCAGGTTGTTTTTAGGAAGTTTTTCCCTATCTCTTACTTACGGTCTGTGAAATATGGAGCTAAGATGGATTGGGACCGAAAAATATGTCTCTGGAGTACTATCTGAAGTACTCCCTCGAGATGTTTTTTGAAAACCGGTGGTTGAGGACTGCACTTCTCGACTTTCAGTCCCGAAATTGCTGTCAGACGCAGCGATCGATTAGATCTCATTGGATTGAACATTCAGCAGTTGTCAATGTTGCGAGCACTGCAGCGCCCAAACCATACCCACCCCTAGTAACTCGAGCCGCTTGTTTTTAGGTAGTCTGAGGAATAATTTCCCTTCCCGCTCAGAACGGGTCCAGTTTAGATTCCGGGATGGGCAGAAAATTAAAGGTTGTAAAATGCCCAAAAAGTTATCTTTTGGCTTTGAGTGCGTTTTTATCAACGATGGACTGCTTGCAGATTCTGCATGCAGATTCAGATTTGCCACTCAATTTTACGTTCGGGTGCCAATTTTCATCGAAAGGACGAGAATTCCGGAGCATTTCAGTAAAGAAAGTGCAATTTGGTCAAAAACGTCTAGAGCAAAATAGCAAAAAACTTTGATTGCTCTCAGTTTCCATACCCACTGCCCAAGAGGACTGAAATTTTGTGGGGGTGTGGAATGGCAAGCGCTATGCAACCCGCTGCACCCGATGACCAGGGCCCTGGTCGGCAGAAATTATCTTTTCAATACGCGATCCCTGCACAACGAAAGAGAGATATCGCGATGCGGGCTCCCCACGTGAGTTCCTCACCAGATAGCTCTCCAGCCCCCCCCCCCCCCCTCCTCCCCACTTCTCCCCTCCCTGCATGTTGAAATGCCCTGTGCGTGGTGAAGGCAGAATCACACAGTAAAAAAAGATTCGCTGTTTTGGTGGTCGTTCTATATCCAATCTCACCGAAACGGGTACCCCTACAAACCCGGCGACGGTCTGTCACCAGGTGGTGTTCCGCCAAAGAGGTTAGGATGACCACAACAACTGTTTTTGAGCTGTTGGTGCATATTTGTGCGTGCCCGCCGGCAACGTTACGCTTTGATGAGTCACGCGAATGATTACTGACAGCCCCTGACTTGTTTTGTGTCCTATTTCACATTAATACGACGATTAAAAGTCGCTGGCGGGAGGGTGACTGCAGTGCCGTTCTGGTGAGGTGGCCGCTCCGGAACGGACCGAGCGCCACCGAAACTAGACCGAGCGTCGCCGAAACGAACAGAGGGCCGCCAGAACAGTTTGAGGGTGTTGCTGTTCTTGTAATATTCTCGTTTTGGCGCCCAGACGTCACCGAATCGGCGAATCTTTTTTTACTGTGCAGTCTATGCAAACACCTGCTTCCCGTTCACGGCGTTGGAGGTGGCGGTGGCAACAACGCAAGGGCCGAGCCCGTGTCGCGAAGCAGGAGGGTGTGCTCCCGCCTCCGCTTTGCGCCTTGGCCAACGCCCTGACACGAGGGAAGACCATCACGCCCATGACGACGCTTCGCAACGAGGGTCACGTTCAATGGTCTGGCCGGGCTGCGACCGTGCGCCCCTGCCCGTCGGCGTGGCGCACGTACACAGACTGTCTGTGGGTGCGTCCAGCCGCAGTAGTGCAGGCGACCCCGCGGAAACACACTTAGGCCTTAGGCAGCGGGGCCCTGGGTCACTGTAACCCAAGTTGCGATACTTTCAACACAAAAACGCGCGATGATATCCGAAATGCGATTCCCACGAGTCATTGCTCCTGAGATGCTATGACTTCTGTATCGCACAAAATTCTGCAATGATCATCGCAACTTTCTGCGGAAGTATTGCAAAAATATGCGATGATGACAACTCAAAGTCTGCAATCATTGCAGTTTTTTGCAATGATCATTGCAAAATTCTGCGATACTCTAGCTCATCACACCTTTTTGCAATGATCATCACAGAAAAGTGCGATGAAATTTGTATTGCGCAGAAAGTATGGTCTGTATCGCAGGTGGAATAACAGTGGTCCGAGGGTCCGGGCCCTGCCAACCAGTGCCAACTGCCAGCAAAACCACACAACACAGGCACAGTTCAGCCTGACATCGCTAAAGAGGTACGTTGTGGGCTCCTACCGGCAGATCGCACTTTGCTTTTGTTCTAGGCTCTCAGCGGTGAAGAAAAAAGTCGCATGTTGCCCCTGTAGGCAGGGAACTTTTGATATATCATCGTGCTCCCCCCTCTGGATTCGCCTCTGCACGGCGAGTGTGGTGCAGGGGACGCAACGAAGGATGCACGATTTCGACATGGCAGTGCTGCAGTGGGGCCGATTTTATGTTTATCGTAAGGCGTGAATTCAAAAAGCCCGCGCCGGCCACTCACCACAAGCTCGCCCGGGGCGCTGACTGGTGAATTTCTCATATCGTCACCCGCGTAGTCTCACCGCCACTGGTGAATTTCTCATACCATCGCCAGCGTAGCCTCACCGCTTCTTCGGCCAGGAGTCGGAAACGAGTACAGGCACTCGGTTACTCGGCTACAGAAATCTCTAATAAAAATCTTAAATATTTATTAATAAATTTTATAAATCGTTTAAATAATTAATATCCGCTTACGACCTTCGAGCCCCCACCACCCCACATCACCCCCTCTACAACACAGATATAGAGGTTTTACTATTAATAAATATTTAATATGATATTGTCGACACTTTTTCAGGAGGTGAACTGAGCCCATCTCTTTTCTTTGTGTGCAATCAGAACTTTTTATTTTTGTTAGAATTAAAATAATATTTTAATATAATTAACTTTTAAATTTATAATGGTTATAATGTGAAGAAGAAAGTTTTTCTGTTGCAGCTAATATCCATTATTTATTTGTTCACAGCGTGTGTATCGCTGCCACCGCAACACAATGCCCAGGTCCAAGCCATCCTCATCGACCTCATCCAAGCCACTATCAGACAGTAAAAAAAAGAGGATTATAAATAGCAAAAATACAGACTGCCCTGCATCTCTTAGTATTACCATAAAGCAAACTACTATGAAATGGTGAGTAAACTGCCAAACTTGTTGCTCTCCCTGCAAGAAATTTTATGTAGGCTGGAAAAATGTATGTGCAACTTTCCTTATTATTCTAGGAGCTCAGATATGCTGCTGAAAAAGTATCCATGTGTCATCAAAGTGAATCACTGCCACAATCACCCAGTTCATGCAGCTGATGCATTAAGACGTAGAAGGCCATCCAAGAAAACAGAACAAAAATTTACTGACCTGCTTAAAAAAGGGCACTCCCCCTTGTCAGCTCTTGAGTGCCACAAACTTGATCGAAAGATGGAATATGGTGATAATTATTTTAAAGTAGCAGCAGATGCCTCCATATGCCCAAGCAATTTCTGGGTATACAAACTTTTCACAAAGTTATCTATAGAAGGGTATGGACCTCAGTGTGGTGACAAAATGCTAGATGCTCTGAATAAATTTTGCAATGATTACAACAAAGCAAACAATTCTGTTTGTTGTAAAGTGGAACTTGTTGACAATCATTTGGTGGTTGCCATCTGTACTCCCTTGATGAGCAGAGTGCACACATTGATCAAGGCATCTTCAGAAATAATGTTTGTTGATTCTTCTGGCTCCATGGACAGTTTAAATTGTCGAGTGTTTCTTATGCTCACATCATCTGTTGCGGGAGGACTTCCCCTTGGTGTTCTCATTACAACATCAGAAAGTGAAAAAGTTGTTAGTGCTGCATTGGAACTCTGGAAGACACTGTTACCTGAGAAGGCCTTTTATGGGAGAGGTGCATCTATTGGTCCAAAATTAATAATGACTGATGATGCCACAGCTGAAAGAAATGCCCTGCAAATGTCATTCATGACTTGCATTTTATTGCTCTGTCTGTTTCATGTTTTACAAGCTTTTTGGAGATTTGTTTGGGCCAGGGAGCAGAATGTACCCAAGGATAAGAGAAGTGAGCTCTTCTACCTATTCAAAGATCTTGTTTATGCTGAAGATGAGGAGACTTTTGCCTGTCGTCTGAAAGACGCAATGGACAGTGAAGAACTGAACAAGTACCCAAAAGTAAAGGGACATCTACAGAAATACATCCCTCGTGCATCTGAATGGGCTCTTTGTATGAGATCAAATTTAATCACTAGAGGACACAACACAGATAATATATGTGAAGCTGGTATTAAGGTTCTCAAAGACAAAGTGTTTCACAGACTCAAGGCCTTCAATCCTGTCCAACTCTGTGATTTTATCCTGACACGCTATGACAACTACCTCCAGAACAGAATTATTGATGTCATCAACAACAGAGCAATAAACCAAGTGAAGTCAAGATTCTACATACGTCCTGAAAAGTTGACGGATCTTGAGTGTGAGGAGCTTGAACGCCCTAACAGTTAGAGGCATTTTTTTTAAGAAGTCCGATCGTGGAACACGACCGATGCCGATTTCCTCCATTTTTTGGTCAAAGGTAGTCCTTGTGGGTCTAAGAAAGGCCACAAATTTTTTGGGCCGAAATATGCACCGTTCATATTCTATGGGCAATTTTCGTTTTCTCTGACAACTTTTCACATAATATGGCCAAAATTGAATAATCACCTTTCTGAGGCCTCTATGCACTCGATTGAGCTCAAAATGTGGTATCTTATGTAAAATCACGCGAGGAACACGAATCCGGTGCCCGTTTGTTGATGGGACAACCCAATTAGATGTTATGACTGTTTTTCAGGTTTTGTAGTGGTTTTTACTTTTCTTGGGGTTTTGGTGTTCGGCATCGATTTTCGCCAATCCGATGAGTGGATTTTATAGATAAAGGACCAATCTATCATACTACGAGATAAAAAGTTTGTGTACGCCGCGTGAAAAGCAGTGGCGCTGCAAAAATTGAAAAACCGTCATTTCTGGGTAGTTTTAGATCAGATAAGCCACCTTTCGCGTGACCGTCTCCGCCCCATATTCAGTCTACATATTGTCCCAAGTGATGTCAGAGTTGGTGTGAAATTTCACCGCTGTAGCTCAAGTAGTTTGGAAATGGCAGCTTTCTAAAGTTTTGCAACCACGTAAGGCATTTACTTTAAGTAGAATTGCGGTAAATGCGAAGACTTGTCACAGATCGGGTAATAAATGAGATAGATGAGTGCGTCAAAGTTCTCTAAGCGTAATTTTGGACAAGGAATCCGATTTTGCTGGTACGAAGACCCTAGGCGAACTCTGAAGTTGGAAAAAAGGCCATTTTTATGTGGTTTGCACGAAAACGTAGTTTAAGAGTACACCTAGGGCCTTCGTACCGGCGAAATCGGATTCCTTGTCCAAAATTACGCTGAAAGAACTTTGACGCACTCATCTATCTCATTTATTACCCGATCTGTGACAAGTCTTCGCATTTACCGCAATTCTACTTAAAGTAAATGCCTTACGTGATTGCAAAACGTGCAAACCACATAAAAATGGCCTTTTTTCCAACTTCAGAGTTCGCCTAGGGTCTTCGTACCAGCAAAATCGGATTCCTTGTCCAAAATTACGCTTAGAGAACTTTGACGCACTCATCTATCTCATTTATTACCCGATCTGTGACAAGTCTTCGCATTTACCGCAATTCTACTTAAAGTAAATGCCTTACGTGGTTGCAAAACTTTAGAAAGCTGCCATTTCCAAACTACTTGAGCTACAGCGGTGAAATTTCACACCAACTCTGACATCACTTGGGACAATATGTAGACTGAATATGGGGCGGAGACGGTCACGCGAAAGGTGGCTTATCTGATCTAAAACTACCCAGAAATGACGGTTTTTCAATTTTTGCAGCGCCACTGCTTTTCACGCGGCGTACACAAACTTTTTATCTCGTAGTATGATAGATTGGTCCTTTATCTATAAAATCCACTCATCGGATTGGCGAAAATCGATGCCGAACACCAAAACCCCAAGAAAAGTAAAAACCACTACAAAACCTGAAAAACAGTCATAACATCTAATTGGGTTGTCCCATCAACAAACGGGCACCGGATTCGTGTTCCTCGCGTGATTTTACATAAGATACCACATTTTGAGCTCAATCGAGTGCATAGAGGCCTCAGAAAGGTGATTATTCAATTTTGGCCATATTATGTGAAAAGTTGTCAGAGAAAACGAAAATTGCCCATAGAATCTGAACGGTGCATATTTCGGCCCAAAAAATTTGTGGCCTTTCTTAGACCCACAAGGACTACCTTTGACCAAAAAATGGAGGAAATCGGCATCGGTCGTGTTCCACGATCGGACTTCTTAAAAAAAATGCCTCATACCTTGTCAAAAATTTGACAAAAGGTACTACAAATTATGTTGTCATGGACTATGAAATTTGCTCTTGTGAGGCTGGAAAATCTGGCAGGCCTTGCAAACATCTGTGTGCTGTTGTGATGAAGTACAAGCTAACGAGCTCAGTGATCCATCCATTACTTCAGTGTGACAACCCAGCAGTGAAAAGAGTGCTCTTTGAGGTTGCACATGGACATAACAATTGCCCTGAAGAATGGTTTTCAAGTATCTTCAATGAAAATAGTAATGCAGAAACAATTCAGGTAACATTTAACATCTCTGCCTTGACATTGGCTACAATTATGTTATGTTTTTAAGCTAATGTTCAAATTTTGCAGGAGCCTCAGAGTAGCTTGGAGGCAGAAGAAACATTGGTTGAGTCTTCAGACAATTTGAATGAAGTTAGGAGCAATGTGGATGAGATTTCCCCTGAAATAATTCAGGAGACAGAGATGGCTCTTTCAGAAATTTTTTCAAGCTGGAGCTCTTCATTGAGGACAGATCCAGCCACTTTCCTACGGCCAATTGAGAGCTTTATAAAAAATAATGAATCAGTCAGCAAGTCTCAGTCAAGCCTCCTGTCAGCTATGCACTGCTTTGGGAAAAGTGGTGGTGTTGCTGCTATTGGAATCCGCCAAAAAAAACTCTCAAATATGCCTGTTCAATCAACAGCTGGTGTTTCTGCTATTGGAATCCGCCAAAAAAACCTCTCAAATATGCCTGTTCAATCAACAGCACCAGCACGGCGCACAACTTATATTGGAGGCAGGACAGCCCAATTTTGTGGCCGACCACCCAATGCCATGACTGCCGCATTGGACCAGGACCAGCAGGAACATTGTTATGGGAACACCCAAAAGGGGAATAAGACTGATGAACCTACATATGCTCACCTACCCAAGAGACCAAGGATAGCTGCCCCTCATGATCTGCAACTTTGTGTTCAGACTTCTCGCATGGTGGGAAAATAACATATTATCTTTTGAGTAATACAAGTAAACGTACAAATTTAAATAATGTTGTATTTAAGATATTTTATCACTACCTTACTTCTAATTACTTTGTGATAAATAAAATCCATGAGTGTCCAATGCTGTGAGAACTATTTGTTAAGCTCTGTCAGAAAGTTCTGTTTTAAGTCAATAAAATTGTAATGATTTTCAACTAATGCTTTGCAAACTTAAAGTTCTTTCATTGGCCTTTTCCAGAAGTACTAAAAATTACTTGGGTGGGATATTTAATGACAAGAAGCACTTGGGAGCAGCCAGGTTTAATGAGCATTAGTTCCACACACAAAATATGACACAACTTCTCATTACAAAATTCCTAACGTACTTTCACAAGGGACAAACGGGCCTTCTTCCTAAACTTTTCATTTTCCTGTTACAACAAAAGAAGATGATGCAGTTAAAGAAATGCAACACAAACAAATTAATCAGTGTAATAGCATGCACTAGTACTTACCGTAATAGCTTTGCTGTACTTTTCTTTAAGTTCTTTAAGTTCTACTTCCAAAGCTGAATTTTTCTCAAGAACTTGCCCCCCGTAACCTGAGTTCTTGTCATGATGGTTCTCCTTTAAAAACTCAATCTTCCTGCTCATCTCCACATTGTCCTGTAATAGACAAAATAAGGGAAAAAAATTCTATAAAAATTCTATACGATGTTTTATTTTTCAAAACTACAAATACCTTGCAAACTTTGGCATGCTGCTCTTCCAGTTGTTTCACTTGTAATTCCAACATTGAATTTTTCTCTACAAGGACTTTCTGTTCCTCATTTGCAACATTGCAATTCAATTTCAATGAATCAATCTCCATTTTCATCTCTGCATTGTCCTGGTAAAAGTAAAATAAGGGAGGATGCAATGCATAATAACAATATTTAAGACACATGTGTATTGCATAGTGGTGATACCTGGCAAACTATAGCATGCTGCTCTCCTAGTTGTTTCAATTGCAATTCCAACATGATTTTATTTTCTTTAAGACCTTCTCTATCTGCAATTGTACCAGTACATTTCAGCTTTAATGAATCAATCTCCATTTTCATTTCTTCATTGTCCTGGCAAAAGTAAAATAACAGAGGATGCAATGCAATACCAATATTTTAGACACATGCGTGTATTACATAATGCGGTAATACCTGGCAGACTTTGGCATGCTGCTCTCCTAGTTGTTTCAATTGCAATTCCAACATGGTTTTATTTTCTTCAAGACCTTCTCTTTCTGCAGTTGTACCGGTACACTTCAACTTTAATGAATCAATCTCCAGTTTAATCCTCAAATTGTCCTGTGTCAAAATAGTACTTGTAAAAAAAAAGAAAAATAGGAAAATTTATAAGAAGTTTCCCACTTAAAATATTTAAAATACCTGACAAACTTTGGTAAGCGTTTCTTCAAGGTACTTGCAATTTAATAGTGTTGGCATCTCGTCTCCTCGTTTGGCATTGTTCTGTTTCGCACAACACAAAAACATGATCACATTAAACAAACATTGTGTTGTAATGTCACTTTAATACAACAGCATAGCGCCATGAAGAGAATTACATACCGTTTCTTTAGGTGGGTCAACACAGTTCGGAATGAGTGCTTCAATTCTTCTTTCCAATATAGTGAGACGCTGAATGGTATCTGCATGCCACTGAAACAAGATTGAGGTGAACCTGAGTAAAAACATGTTTAAAGCAATCAAAATCAAGTAATACTGCATCAAAAGAACATTTTAGAACCACACCTTTCTGCAGCTTTGACATGCATAACAAAACCACTGGTCAGTCTCTGAAATATACATGCGTAGACATGATAAGGCATCGTCAAAGGTTAAATATGAAAGCGAAACTACTCCTACTGACCTTTACTCTGTTTCTTTGTCATTCCAACACATGTCCCATGAAACCATTGATCACACCCGTCGCAACATATCATGAATCGCCTGAAAATGAACAAGCACAATGACAAGTGTAAGAAACGCATAGGTAGGGCTAATGATAATACTCACCCGCCCCAACCAGCCTGGCAAAAGCAATATAAGGCGTCCTCGCCCTCTGCCATGACAATGACAATTTTATAACCCTCAATAATGTATCACTCTAAATTTCGCGATAAGCGAGTCCTGATGACAAACAGCAAATTTGGCGACAGCAAGGATCCCTCTCAGCGGGCATACCGACGCGGCGAAGAAACGAAGTTTGGCGCGAGATGGACGGGGGTGAGATGTGGCAACACGGCTGTGCAAAGTGCTGTTGGTTCAGAAATCTCGCCTACTGCTCAGAGAGTGTCCCGGTCGTGTTAAACTGATAAAGCATGATCAGACGTTTCCATTTCCGTCTCGGAAACATCATTTGGACATCAGGTTCAGTTTCCATGGCTGTTTTTAGAAAAACCCGTAAAAGACGAATTTTCGAATTTTCAACGTCGATGCGCGAGGGTCAAGCTTTAAGTTTCAGACCTGGCCCAGATCGCGTTGAGTTTGTATTGGCATGAAGTAACTTTGGCGCGCTATTGAGCAGCTCCAGACAAAAAAAAACACTTGGCCGGGGACCCCCTCAGATCTGGCTCCCTCCCGGTTTTTTTGGTTCAACTAGTGAATACGAATTGCCGAAACACAAATTGGGCCGGATCCAACACCGATTGGCTTTTTGGCACGGGTCAAAAAACCCCAAAAATGGCTGTTTTTGAGGGTTTGGGGCTTTTTAGGATCTCGGAACGTGTCGGCTAAAAAATCTACCAATATGGTTTTTCCGAAAGAAAAAAGTGCGCTCTTTCGAATGCCGGGTCGCGCGAGGCTCTACGACGTCGGGTTTAGACGCTACGGGCTCTTAAAGTTGCTCAATTTCACTATTTTCACTAAAAATGACTAAAACAGATTTCTTTCTCTCCGGAAGTCGATTGTGACTCTTCCTATTGGCAATCTTCACCATGCAAGGTATTTTTATACCTCAGAGACATGGTTTGGGCAATGAAGTTACGTTTTTCTACCGTGGGGAAAGCCCACACACTACATAGCGTACATAGCGCCTAGTGGGTAGGCAGCCCCTTACTCAGGCCAGTCGGGCGGGCCTGCCGCGTCAGGGAAGGCAGAGGTGGGATCGGGGTGGGCTCTATTGAGCAAGAATATTTAAGAGGTGACCGGGTTGGATTTCACCTCTCCGATTTGGCTCATTTTTGGTGGGTGTTTTAGCACCCTAGAAAGATGCTAAAAGCCTGAGTAGCAGGTCCGGCAAAAATTTATTGACCAATCTGCAGCTGTTTTTCTAAATTTGAGTTTTTTAACTTGAATTTGGGTATTTTCTTCTTTTTCTACAGTATTTGCTCAAGGAAGCTGAGTTTAGGTTTTTCAGACGTAAAATGAGCCAAGGAATTCGAATCTGCGTCCGGAATTGAGCTAGGACTCATACTTCAGGAGATATTGGCAAAAAAAAACTGCCAGAAGTTGCCAAAAAAGTCCCAAATCCTGGGGAAACGGTCAAAAATTCCCGTGAGAGGCTTTCCCAGTGGTCTAAACTTCAGCGAATGAGCCAAGGAATCCAATGAGCACAACCTCATATTTTTCCGACGAACTGTTTAAAAATAGCACACTTTCAAAGTTGAGCATTTTCTTCCCCTTCCAATTTTTTAAGCTTTTTGACCCTGTAGGATTATATTTTCTTCTAACATCCCATCGGTAATGTCCCCTGCCATCCAGGGTCACGTGGTACGAACACCGCGACGCTAAAAAGTAGGAATCGAATGCGCAGCACTCAGCGCCTAGGCCTGGGCGATTAATCGATTAATCGAAAATAATCGCGATTATTTTGTTAATCGTGCGATTATTTTAAACCCCCGATTAGTGGTTAAGTAATCGAAGTATTGACCGATTGATGATCGATTATCGATTAATCGTCTCTTTATCAGATATTCTATCCATCACCTGTGCCATTCGAGAACTTTTCACGCTACATCCAAAAAAGACGTTTAAAATTTCCGAACTGTTCCAGTTAACTTGTTTAACAGGATTTCTCAAAATTTATTGGAGACTTAAACGCATAGAAAAGAACCATGCCCCTGCTCAATATATTGTGTCAATATATTTAACAACATAAAATCATGTTGTTATCAGTGCCAAGATTTTAAGAAAAGTTACTTGAAAAGTCTGCCCTCCTAACCCTACCCCATCCCACGACGGGCACCGTGTCAGATATTGAAACATACATTTCGCGAAGATAATATTGTATGGGGAAATATATGCATTATATATTAACGGGCACGAAGATATACCCCCATATATAAACTACGTATTGCGTAAGATAATTTGCAATATATTGAGCAAGATACAATTACATTGGCAATGCATGAAACAAATATGGATTCATATATTCACTACAAATCCAAAGGTCAGACTTCTCGCCACTCCAGAGGCAAGACATTAGTCTCGCCAAGTTTTGGTCAGACGGTCAGACCTGAAAGTCTCGCCAAAATTTGGTCCGACAAAAAAGTCTCGCCACAAAACGGTCAGACACAAAAGTATCACCACAAAATGGCTAGACTTTTGTGTCTGACCACGGCCTTTAGGCCGTAACCGTCCGGCGCATTACGGCCTTTAGGTGGCGGTCAGACACAAAAGTCTCACAGAGACTTCTGTGTCTGACCGTTTTGAGGCGAGACTTTTTTGTCTGACCAAATTTTGGCGAGACTTTCAGGTCTGACCAAAACTTGGCGAGACTTCAATGTCTCGCCATATTTTGGCGCAAAGTCTTTCCATCCAATTTGCAGTGTTTTCCATATATTTTCCTTTTTGCAAGGGGTGGGGGAGGGGGTGGGGTACCTCACTCCCTCACAACGCCCACGAACCCTCCCTCCCTCTCCTCCTCGCCTCTCTCCGACTTGCCTGAGCAAGGGGCTGCCTACCCACTATTACCATTACCATTAAGGGCTATACCACATATAATCGTATGCCATTTCGGGCCCGACACATACGCTACGTAGTGTGTGGGCTTTCCCCACGGTAGAAAAACGTAACCTCATTGCCCAAAATATGTCTCTGAGGCGCTCGGGCTGCCAGGCACGCCAGGCCCGCTTCGCCTGCACCGGCGGCCATTGAAATTTACCGAAGTGCTACCCCCACTCCCCCCCATGGGTTTGAGAAGCCCACATGGGCTCGCTGAATCAAGCCCAATAGAGCCCACCCCGATCCCACCTCTGCCTTCCCTGACGCGGCAGGCCCGCCCGACTTGCCTGAGCAAGGGGCTGCCTACCCACTAGGCGCTATGTACGCTATGTAGTGTGTGGGCTTTCCCCACGGTAGAAAAACGTAACTTCATTGCCCAAACCATGTCTCTGAGGTATAAAAATACCTTGCATGGTGAAGATTGCCAATAGGAAGAGTCACAATCGACTTCCGGAGAGAAAGAAATCTGTTTTAGTCATTTTTAGTGAAAATAGTGAAATTGAGCAACTTTAAGAGCCCGTAGCGTCTAAACCCGACGTCGTAGAGCCTCGCGCGACCCGGCATTCGAAAGAGCGCACTTTTTTCTTTCGGAAAAACCATATTGGTAGATTTTTTAGCCGACACGTTCCGAGATCCTAAAAAGCCCCAAACCCTCAAAAACAGCCATTTTTGGGGTTTTTTGACCCGTGCCAAAAAGCCAATCGGTGTTGGATCCGGCCCAATTTGTGTTTCGGCAATTCGTATTCACTAGTTGAACCAAAAAAACCGGGAGGGAGCCAGATCTGAGAGGGTCCCCGGCCAAGTGTTTTTTTTTGTCTGGAGCTGCTCATTACGGTTGCGATTTCGAAAAATGGTTTTTCACGGCCCACCCTAATAAAAGCCGAAACGTGTGTGAGAACACGGTAAAACCGGTTCCTGGTTTTCCCAGGAGCTCCCTGGAGATCGCCTATTTCGCTACCATAGGCTTCCTGGGAAAACCAGGTTCCCTTTTAACCTTGAACAAAGCTGAAGAGGCAGAGCGGCGATGCTGACGCCCATTCTCAGCACATACTTGTCGTTATTTTTTATTTCTTGTCAACTTCCGTTCCAGCTCTTCGCCGTTATCTAATGAATCTTGAAGCGGAAGACGAACAAACCTACTGCGCACCTCCACTCTATAGTACAGACTATGTGCCCAGAGCAATGACAAGAAAAAAGACAAGACCATCGATTACTACATAACGGAGTTTTAGCCCCCTCCCCCTCCATACGTGCCTGTATTGTGGCGTGCTACCGCTTCCTACCGCGAATTTAATTGGCTGAGCGATAGCGAAGCCTGTTTCTCCAGTGCGGTTGAAAAGTTTTGTCTGTCTGTCTGTGTGTGTGTGTACACTACTCCTCCTGAACGGCTCGGCCGATCTGGCTGAGATTTTGCAGGCTTATTAGGTATGTTCTTGGCTCGGCACACGCGAAATTTCACTATCCTAGCTCACGTGGTTCAGTTTTTATAGCCGAAAAACACCTAAAAAACGGCGAAAAATCGAGTGTTCTGCAGGCAAATCACTTCTGCCTTGGAGGAAGGGGGATCTGGGGGGCGCAGCCCCCCAGCCCCGAGAAGTTAAAAAGTTACAAGGGTCAAGATCGTGTTATCTGTAGATGAAACAACTCTATGTAGAATGAAGGGGGGTCCCAGCGTGCAACAAGTTAGAAGTAGCCGACGATGGACAAGCCATTGCCTGCCGAAGGCAGGCTAGCGCCGCAGGCCAAGGTGGGTACGCCAGGCGCGGATTGGAGAAACAGGCCGCGAGACATCGCGATGCCTGTTACGACAAGACGCGGTCTGGCGTAAACCTACCTTCTAAGATGCCAAGTGAAACGTGCACATGTAAATTTCAGGTAACGAACTTCCGGACGCAACATACACACTGTGCAAAGTGTACTGCCCGGTTTATCCCCGTTGAAGCGGGCGCTCGAGCGTGTTGGAGAAAGTGTGTACACAAGTGAACTTCAGTAGGCACATCTCTGTTAAAGCCTGATAACCAAGTGGATGGGATGATGAAGTGCTGGAACGAAGTTACTTTAGTAGAAGTGCACTAGCCGAAGTAAGACACCTGTCAAATACGTCAAATGGGCGTTTACATCCAAGTACACACATTGGTGCAGAGGGAACGGCGCGTAGAAACTATCAGGTGATGCTTCTCACCTCCGAAATTTCTATTTACCTGCATCAGACGTAAAATCTCGGAACAGACGCGATGCTGGACGTCTCTCTTGAAGACCGCAGGCTGAAGGAAAGGTTGTGAAGCTGCACGTGTTGGTTCGGACCGGAAAAGATACCACGCCGGCGCAGCGGAAGCGAAGCAAGAGTTGTGACGGAAATGGAATTAGGAATGAACGCAGTGTAGGCAATCTTGGATTCAGCATAAGGAACGTTGCTTCTTAAGAACCGACACGACCATCCACGTTGGTGATCAACAGTATGTTATATATCTGTTCCAATCCTTTTGAAAATGCTGCCCAGTGCCAGTAACATAAATTTGGGTCCCAATGCAGCCTCCCAATGGCGTAACACGCGTGTCGGTACTGTAGTCTGCTCGGTTCTCAGAAATGTGCGCTCCCTCGCTCTGCAAACTAATGTGTGTACATAGGCATGTACACGCTAAGTAACCTGCAAGTACAATCTTATTCCAAGAACGTGACATCACGTTGAAACGAACGAGACTAACTGTCACGTTCGTTTGCATGTGAACAAGCTGATTTTTGGCCAATTCACACCCAAACGAATGTGATCAATGCTTGTGTGCACGCTAAAATACGCTCGATTAGTCCTATCTAAAAACATGGGCCTGCATTTTGGATAATAGACTGTTCAAATTTGGAACCGATCTCTCACAGAGTTAAATAGAAAGCTAAGTTGTACCGGCCGCCCTTGTTAAAAGCGGCACAATTTCTTGATGAATCCAAAATTGCCGTAACTCGGGTCAAAAATTGGAAAATTTTGACGTTTCTTTCATCACTTTGCTTAGTTTTAAGTTGCGGACACGTTCCGTTGATTAAATTGTTCGAAAAGTGAACGCAAATTGCGTTTTTTAAATATGACTAGTGCGAGCGGATTATGCTGCCGTATAATCCCCACCACAAGAGGGTCAGTCCCGGGCCGAACCTTCGTTTTGTCCGCCGAAACCCCCGGGTAGAGGGACAAATCGAGGAGTCAGACTGTACATTCTTATTTAGCGTGTACATGCCAGGCACACTCTAGTTTGACGTGTACCTAGAAAGTGTGCAGTAAATAAAAGTGTGCTTGGAAGTATGCTCTAAGAAGAGTGTACTATGTACACACTTTGCAGAGCCGTTTCCCTTGCGTCCAAGATTAACCGTTTTCCAGGAATAGTCCATTCTGTGCTGCAAAAGGGTTCTCCGGCGCAACTGGGGTTTGCAATAATTTGATCGGTGTCTGCGCATCGCGCGGTTCACAGGAGTGCTGCATACATTGAGAATGAGACCAGTCAAAATCATGACTTGTATTTTGGGGCAGTAGGAAATGCGTGGCTTGTCCAAATATTGTTTGAGGTACGCTTTATTGCCGCATTAAGAAGCACATTCAATTCTCAAATCTTTATTTCTTTATTCACTCCACTGTTGCTGATTCTTAACATTCGGTTTAAAGATTAACAGAGGTATCCTTCATCGCTAAAATTAGGGCGATGATACCACCCCAACACACTAGATTATACTCAGTTTTTTTTTGCCTATGCTTTGCTGTACAATTTTACAAAATAGTTCATATATGCATTTACAGGCCTTACATCTAGATAGGTCAGGTTAGGTTGAACATCATTTGAACACAATTGAACTAGAACCACCTCTATGGTTCAGACCTAGCATATACAGCAGAAACTACAAAGCGTAAAAATAAAATGGAATATTTTGAACTTTTGTTAAAGCATTGAAAAGTTGTACTTGATCTCGAGAGCGCTAGAGAATATCACGCTGCCTGGTGGAGCCGCACTGAACGACTCGATTGGAACCAAATGCATTTTGGAAAACACCCAGTAAATTTTTCATAATTCTGTCGAACCTGGATCGGCGGAACGTGGTGGTTGCTGAGGCTTATCCCTGGTTGGAGGAATCAGCAGGAGGAGCGGACGAGCACGGAAGTGGAACCACCTGCAAGCAGCCCGGAGGGCAGTCAGCCGTCCTACGGTGCAATGAGAACCATGAACAACGGCCACGGCTCTCCTCCTTCTCGCAGAAACTACAGTCACATTTGATGACTCCTTCGTAGGCGTACTCTTCATTACAATCGCACTTCGATAACTGCAAGTGAAGCCGAGGGTTTCTTTGAAGCAGGTCCTGGATGCGGATGTCGTGCAACCAAGCGTGTAAGCACTTCTTTTCACAATGAAGAGACAGCCTGGTGAGGCGGGGCGCGGACGTGGGTGTCAGCGCCCGCAGAAAGTCATCCGTGGGATCAGCATCAACTGACAGCTCACGCAGCACAGGGAACCGGGGCAGGCAACCAGCCAAAGCCATGAGATCTGGGTCATGTCTCCACCTATACAGGTCTAGAGTTCCAAGAAGACTGGCAGAGCGCGATTCAGTGAGAGCCTGCAGTGCGGCAGAAGGCAGCTTATAAAATTCATAAAACCACAGGGAGCGGAGTTGCGACGACTGTCGCACGAAGTCCAAGGCCACAGGGCCCGGCGAGCAGGCTAAAGAACGCAGCTTTGGTAACGTTCTCAACAACGACCAGACGACCTGTTCACTGAAGTCTTCCACGTCCACTTCTTCCAGTGTGGCAGCATGTGTTTGCAGGAGCGACATAAGAAAACAGCCCGCGCCTCCGGTACGGCGCCACCCTCGGGTAATACCAGAGCTTCGTTAGCGACGGCTCTACTTCCAAACCAAGACATGGGCCGAGCAGGAGCGTTTCTGAGTCTCCAAAGCAAATCTTGAGTTCTCGTAAACCCTGAAGACTGCAGATGGTATTTAAGACTTCAGAACACGCGGTCGATAAGTCAAGGTCAAGATAGACATCGAGCGTTTTCAAGCCCCCAAGAGAGTGTACTGTATGCAGAATCTTTGTGGCCAAGGCCTCATTCTCGTAAATAGTAAACGCCAGCTCAGCTATAACACACGAAGTGGTAGGCACCATGGACACCATAAATGCAAAGTCTTCTACACGACCAGCAAGTCTGCCAATGCAGGGGACCAGTCTCAGGACAGCGCGCAGAAGGCCCACTTCTTGCTCATAGTCGTTCCCGCCTAAGTACTCTAGGTCCCTCAAAGCACGGCGTCGCCACAGGTCGGGGTGCAGGCAAATGTCTCTCAGGCGGCGGCACAAAACGCGAAGGCTGAAGAGCTCCCTGGAGGGCAGGAAGGCCAGCACGGCCAGCAACGCGTCGTCCGGCAGGGAGAGGAGCTGTGGGCACAATGGCAAGGAGGGTAAGGCCTGCGAGCGCAAGTGTGAGCATGGCACACAATTTAAAATGTGAGCCAGCATGCACACTGTTAAACATTGTAAGAAAAAACAACAAAAGTACACAAATTTCTGGTAAATTTTTGATGGGACCGGCATGACGAGTGCTGTGCAGTCCGGGCCTCGTTGTGGTTTGTACAATCCTCATTGTACTTTGTACAACCCCTGTTTTACATTAATTGTACACAATACTTTTGTTGTGCCATTCACACTTTATCTTGCAGTGTAAAGTGTGCTTGTCATGCACTTCGGAACGGCGTGCCTGACCGAGACTATATGGGTCCTGCACCCTTAAAACCTTCCGAAATATTTTGAGCATACATTAGTACAAACTAATTTACTCTTTTAAACGAAGAAATAGTTCGTAAACTACGAAGTATTTTCCTTGTAAGCTTATGTATGCTAAAAACATTTTGGTATAACAAAATACTTTGATTTGCAAGGCCTGAAATAGTTTGCAAGTTTTTCTCAGTGTGGGTACACTCTCATTCGAGAAACGTGACGTGACGTTGAAAGAATGTGACAAAACGTGACGTATGTTGAAAGCATTATGTCACATCCATTTGGATGTCAATCAGCCACAAATCAGCTCATTCGCATTCAAATAAATGTGGACACAATGCTGAAACGAACGGTGACATTTTGTCACATTCGTTTGAACGTGATGTCACGTTCCTAGAGAGTACGCTAAGTTAGAAAGTAAGTTCCTTCTAGCGTAACGCTGCGGTGCATGGGACAGGTACGAGCCAGCGTAACGTTACGGCATACCAAAACACTAAATATGAGAACACATTTCAGAAGTACAAACAGTAATGAGGGTAAAAATAGTGTTCACCTAAGAAATTTTGCGTAACGTTACGCTGAGAGGGGGTGATGGGTTCTGGCACAACGTGACGCCGCTTAACATGGGAAAGGGGGCGGGGGTAAAAAATGTCCTTAATTACGTATCGTTCTTAATGGACAACCCCTTTTGATACGCAATCTAACGTAAATGAACCATCTTTTCAGGTGCATTACGTTTACTTTCCACGCCACATCGAAGCACGCTATTCAAAAGACTTACATCCATGGCTGCCACTGCCTGATGAGAACGCCGACTGCGAACCGCTGGGGTCCGAAATGCTGCTGATGCTGGATGTTGCTGATGCCGCGTGTCCCGCTGCCAAGGGTTGGCTCTCCACGTCGAGTCACGTCGTCTGCAGTTCCCAACCACGAGCTTGCCGCCCCGAAGTAGACTGTAGTGGCAAAGTCAAGCATGCTTGTTACGACACTACAGTAACGAACACTGAGAACACGGTTCAAACTTTTTTGGGCCTTTCAAAGAAAAGCTGATTATAATAACAAAGTATTTTGAGCATACATAATCTTACTAAGAAAAAACTTCGTAATTTACGAACTATTTCTTCGTATAACAAAGTAAATTAGTTTGTTATATGTATGCTCAAAATACTTCGTAAGGTTGTCAGAGTGAATATCCAGGTTCGCTTCCTCCGTGCACTTCACCACTTCAATGAAAAGATTAATCTGGCCGATATTGACGCGGCTGTAGGGTGTAGACCAGCAGTGAGGAAATTAAAACCGGAAGTTCGTTGGGTCCGATAAGTAAGAAAAACTTAAAAGGGCCAGAACACAGGAAAATGTTGAGTACAAATGATGGACGTCGATTTTCAAACGGTATGAGACTGAAAGAAACCCTTACCTTCCTTGGGTTGGCAAATAAATCACTTCAGAATGGGAACAGCGCGGTACATGTCGGTACAAGTGTCTCACTGCGCGCAGTTAAGGTTCGAATTTGGAGATGCCAAGTGAAAAGTGCACATGAAAATTTCAGGTAACGACGAGGGGTCGGCAACTCATATATTACTTCGTACGCGGTGGCTATATTACCAGTATATTACCTGAATATTACCATATATTACTTGCATATTACCACATTTTCGCCTCTATAATACCCCTATATTACTATATATTACTTTGTTGGCTGAGCGATAGCGAAGCCCGTTAGTGCGTGCGTGTGTGTCCGCACTACTCCTCCTGAACGGCTCGGCTGATCTCGGTGAGATTTTGCACACTTTTTGGGTATGTCCTTGGCTCGGCACACGCGAAATTTCACCATCCTAGCTCAACTGGTTCAGTTTTTATAGCCGAAAAACACATAAAAACGGCGAAAAATCGAGTTTTCCGCAGGCAGATTACTTCTGTCTTGAAGAAAGGGGGGTCTGGGGGGCGGAGCCTCCCAGCCCCGACAAGTTAAAAAGTTCCAAGGGTCAAAATCGTCTTATTTGTAGATGAAGCAAGTCTATCTAGAATGAAGGGGGGCCTGGGGGGCGGAGCGAGGGGCAAACAACTTCCTCAGAATTTGTACACCGTTATTTCAAATTCACGTTATTTCACGTTATTTCATTGTTATTTCAACTTTATTCACTCCGAGAAAAAATGACGGTAAATCCTGGATAATTTTTTTGCCAAACTTTACCGTACTTCAAAAACCAGTATCCTCCGTACAGTCTACAGTATTTACCGTACTTGTTTTACAAAAATATTCCGTAGTCTTTTAACAGTAGTTACCGTTCATCCGTACAGTCCATGCCGTAGGAAAGACCAGATCTGGTCCCAACAAAGGCCGCTTCCAAGAAGTGTCCACATCAGGATCTTGAAAAAAGGGGGTCGACCGACTGAAAAATTTTATTGCACCTTTCAATAGGTCTCGTCAAGACCTTTCCAACGAGTGGTCGGAAGAGGGGTCCAGGAGTCCGACTTCAGCAGTTGCGTACATCAGGAACTTGGAAAAAGAGGGTCAATCGACTGAACAAAATTATAGCAGTTTTTGATAGGTATTAAACGTACGGGATTGCCGGGTAAAAAAGTACGGGATTCCCTGTAAAAAAGGTACGGTGTTTTCTGTATAAAAAAGTACGGTATTGCCTGTAAAAAAACGACGGAATTGCCTGTTAAAAAAAGTACGGTGAAGTCTGGAGTAATCAGTACAGGATTTACCGCGATCTTTTCTCGCAGTGTTTCAAGGGTATTTCGACGTTATTTCGCGTTATTTCATGTTATTTCTCGTTACTTCAGTTATTTCAACGTTATTTCACCATTATCTCACGTTATTTTAAAGAAAATGAACACCAAAATTCAAGTTGTTCGCCCCTTGGGGCGGAGCCCCCCAGAAACAAATTTGAAGTAACCGACGACAGACAAGCCATTGCCTGCCGAAGGCAGGCTAGCGCCGCAGGCCAAGGTAGGTACGCTAGGCGCGGATTGTAGGAACAAGCAGCGAGACATCGCGAAGCCTGTTACGACAAGACGCGGTCTGGCGTAAACCTACCTTGTTAGATATCGCAAACTTTTTCGTAGAAACACATGCTTTTCTTTCCCATATTAATTGTGTTATCGTGACGTTACGCAGAGTCCCCCATGTAACGCAGCGTTACGCAAGCCGCAGCGTTACCGCCACATTGTGTGCTGCAGACTTCAACTTGTGCACGGGTTTTTGAGCATTTTGCTGTACCGCGTTTGCTTGATTGGATAGCCTTGTTTTCTTGCCTTGTCACTTCACGGCATTGAATGCGCGGCTCTTACCTCTCCCCTCCCAATGAAAATGAAATAAACTCCAACAGCGTCATAAATTTTAACCAGAATTCGGAAACGAACTAGGTTAGAAAAAGAATTGTTTTTCTTTAGAAATGATCCAGGAAGCGGAAGAAGAGGATAACTCCACTTTTAGCAGATGATACCTTTACTACTTTAAAACGTACCTAGAACAATACAAAACACTTAAAGGTGTCAGCTAGCTTTTACTCGAGAGTCCAGAAACCAAGGCTGTATCCTAACAATAATGGGGGCTGGCTGCCGGGGCGGGCTGGCGAGTGAATGAGTGATGCACAGCCTGCGCGACGCATCGACAACTCCTCCTCCGGGTACAGCGCGAGCGGCACCGGCCAACAATGCCCTCCCCCTCTCGCACAGTCCTTCCCTGGGTACAGCGCACGGAACAGCAACAATGCCTCACGGCTCGGCACGGCTCAGCGCGCTCGAGGCACGGCGCGGCGCGGCGGTGCAAACCACAGCTCGGCTCGCACCATAAGGTATAAAATCAATTGTGGGTCACTTTTTTTTAAAATGCATATTTAAAATATAAATGTTGAACAAGTAGCCAAAGTAGCTTTGAGACGTTCAAATATGATCCCTTGACTACGTTTTGTAGCATAGAAGCCTCTAGAGATGTGCGAAAGGTTCGGAATCGAATCGAATCAGCTCTGATTCGATTCGATTCGCTCCCGGGAAAATTGCTTAAAATCCGAACTATTCGAAAAATTCGAATCGAGGGTAATTCGCCTTCGAATCTTGTCCCTTTCCCCTCCCGTTTGAATCACGCGCTGCACACCCGCCAGCTAGCTTCTAGACTGAAATTACCAAATATTAATATTTTTATGTGATATTACATTGTAATAAAAACATAATTATTTTTTGTTCCACTAATATTTGTTTTGCACTACTGATATTGAACAACGCACTTCCTGTATTGCTCCAACAACAACGTAACGAAATCATGAAATTTTTGCTTGAGATTCGGATTCGATTCGAAAAACAGGGACGAAAATTCGATTCGATTCGAGAAAAAAGATGCAGATTCGATTCGATTCGGGGATTTTTTTTCATGATTCGATTCGAGGGGAAAAAACCTGATTCGCACATCTCTAGAAGCCTCGTCTTTCGTCCTCGTTTACTGAGCTACAGCCGTTTTTAAAACTGGCTATTTTGGCCCACAATTGATTTTTGGAACCAATTGTGGGTCAGCAATTTTTGAGGCTACTCGCGCGCCAAGCCTTGTACACCACTTACCAAACTAAGGTTGACTTTTAGTCCTTCACCTATTATATCCTTAAATCAGGAAGGGCGTCCCCCTCCGTTCCATAATTCGATTTTTTTTTCAATGTTTGAAAAACATCGATTTTTTTTTCGTTTTTCTTGCCCTTGGATAGGCCCAATTTTCCGTTGAATTTTTAAGGTCTCTCTTTGCTGCCCGATAGGTTTCGTTGTGGTCGATGCTCAGACATCCGCACCGTTTCAGCTGACAAAGGAAGGTTGAGGGAAGACCCATGCCGAATTTGAAGCCGGTTCGGTCATTCATGGATTTTTAGCGGCCCGTCAAACAAAATGGCCCATAATTGACTCGTGACCCACAATTGAATTTTGACCTTAAGGGGGGACATCACTCCCAAAACAGTGCTTTTGTAAGATCGTCATAAAAACCAAACGGAAAGAGATAAATTGTTCATATTTTAACAGATGAAGTATCAAACAACACAAAGTCAATCCGCCAGGGCAGTACAGCGCTTTCGTTGAAAACACAATTTTGAGTGTTAGGTTAGACCATTTCGCACTGTTGCAGCGCTGGACGCCAAACGGTTTGACATAGAACAACGAAATTTGGTGACAGCCTTCCTGAGATGTCTGGCTATGGTGGGTACCTCAATCACTTTCAAAAAACCATTTTAAGTTGTATTTGTTACACACCAAAAAAATCTGTTCAATTTTTTTGGTCAAAATTGTTCAATTTTGAACGTTAAAAAAATAATTAAAATTTACCAATGCAAAATATTTTGCTACCCACCATAGCGGCATGTCGTAGGAGCTTCCAAGCTAAATCTCCCCGCTGTAGCTCAAAAACTGCGGCCTAGAGGCCTGCAACCGTTTGCAATTTCATGTTCCGAGAAAAACGCGATCAAAGTTGGGGAAACTGGGCTTTTCCCCTATGCATGTTTTCGGCCCACAACCTCCTAAAACTGCAATTTTTTGAATTTTAGAATGCGGTTTTCACCATTCGACGCAGAATAGAATGGTCAATAATATAAACTAATAAAAAAAAGTTGCAATTTTTGACCATTTTGGAGTGATGTCCCCCCTTAACTGTCCAGCTCGCTTAGGTCTATGTATTTTATTGGGCTGTCTATTTCATTTCATACACAATGAGGAATTCCGCGTGAAAGAGGAAGAAAAGAAATTGCAAGATGACCGCCGCTAGAACATAACAAACCCTCACTTGTTTCTGGATTTCTTTCTGCTCGGGGGCTTCTGCGCATGCGCAGAGCAGAAACAATTCAAAAACAAGTGAGGGTTTGTGATGTTCTAGCGGCGGCCATCTTGCAATTTCTTTTCTTCCTCTTTCAGGCGGAATTCCTCATTATGAATAATCCCGAAATACCACCTAGAAGAAAACCAAACGAGTATCATCTGCTTTCGTTAACGTTCGTTGAATGATATTTTTTTAAAGATATGATCCAGGAAGCGGAAGAAGGATATAACTCCGATTTTGCCATTTTTCATGAGATACCAAAAGCTGTTGGCAAAGTTAAATTTTTAGATGAACAACAGAAGTGTTGGGTTACTCCGTAGAGGATCTTTGTGATTTATAACTTTCCGTTTAAATGGACAACAGAGTCATCTCATCTTGAATTTCCCAAACGAAGTGGAATTTGGAGACAAGTCAAGTAAAACTAGTCAGCTGAAAGTGTTGGTTCCTCTGATATACTTTTCGGACTCAGCCCCTTTTTCCGTTGATGTTCTTGATTCTTTTTACAATGTATTCCTAACAACACAAGTTAGTTGTCTCCTATTGACAATATTTCCAACGGAGTCATGTTGACTTTGGCTGTTGTTTCCATTTTCCGTTAAATTGAGCGCGTAAACACTGTGACCAAAAAGTACGGAAAATTCTGTTCATTTTTTGCCAGGATTCTCCGTAGGACCTGAAAAACTGTATAGTCCTACGGAAAACTCTGTTCGGTCCTACGGAGGGTATTGTAAGGTCCTACGGTAAATGATGACAAGCGGGACTACGGAAAATTACCACAAGCTATTTTCACTCAAAATGTTGGACAGTAAAGATTCTCCATATCACGGTGAAAATGTTCTATTTTACAGTGGTGCAGCTGACTTCACAACATACCATTCAGAATTCACTATAACTTACAGATGTTTTGACGAATTTGGTTGGAGAAAATCTGCACCATAATATGTTGGTGCAGCCTCTCACCTTGACAGTGTACATAATTTTTCGTAGCTTTTTGCCACAGTGAAAGGTGTCTAGATGAGTGATATCTTTTTTCGATGTGGATTTTCCCCTTAACTGCTAGAAATTGAGTCAAATAATTTAGTTTAATAATGGAGTATGCCATTCTAAGGCGCAATAGCGGAATTATAACTCACTTTGGAGTTACGTCGAATTATTCTCCTCTTCCACTTCTTGGATGAATTTTCCTCACAACAGCCGGTCGTACTCTGAAAAGTATACTAAGCATTTGCTTAAAAACTACAAATAAAATGAAGGCGTTGTAGAATTGCTTCGTATTATGAAGAAATGCTTCGTATTACGAAGGATTTTGCTTCTTAATACAAAGCATTTTTTCGTGGATTTTACAATGCCTTCATTTTCTTCGTATTACGAACCGGCTCTACGTAGTGTTTTTACTGTGCGAATGACATTCCTTTTCACGTCCCAATGTGCTCACATGGCTTCTCTGCTGTTTCTGTAGGGCTTCTTCGTCCCTGGCCGTCCGATAATCAATGGAGTGCGTCGTGTGCCTGGAGCCCTTCGACGAGGGCCGCCACCGCCCCAAGGCGCTGCCGTGCGGCCACTCGCTGTGCGCGGAATGCGTGGGCAAGCCCGAGCTGGGGCGGAGGTGCCCGGAGGACCGGAAGGTGAGTGAGCACTGGTGAAACAAAGGCAGTTTGATGGCCTGGCTTAAATAACGGCCCTAGGACGGCGCAATTCGCTTCATGCCCTTGGAAGGGGCGTGAATGAGTAAAATTTGCAGCCAAAGTTTTAGCCCTTATGTAGGCATGCACTGGTAAAACAAAAGCATAAAAACTAAGCCCCTGAAGGCATTAACACTCTTCTACGCCCTTTAAGGGCGTAAATTGTTTTATGCCCTTGGGAAGGGTGTGAATGGTAGAGGACTTTCAAGTAAAATTTTAATGCCCTTCCAAAGGCATTAACGATTCACGCCGCTCCAAGTGATTAAATCCTGAACGCTCTTTTAAAGGGCATAATTTTAATGCCTTTGTTTCACTAATGTTACCTTACGGGCGCGAGACCGTACTTCCCTGCAGGGCGAAGTTTTTATGCTCATTCACCAGTGAGCCAGCAGCTAGGTGGCGGTACACGCTGTTAGAAATTAGCTCCGAAATTTTATGGAGAGAAACTCTGTAATCACGTTCACGGAGACTCCATTCATTTTCTATCTTTTTTCGGAGAGATTTTCTAAGGACTTGAACAAATGTTCATCGGAGCATTACTTGGGTCGTGATGGGAGGTAAAATGCACGTCTTCTTGGATATGTTAATGAGGGCTTCGCCGAAGCATTCTTAGTCTGCGATGGCAAAAGAAGGGACAATCTCCTTCGAGCTCCTTTTAGTGATATCCTGTAGGTTTCCCTTAGTATTATGAAAACTGAGCTGAACAAATAGGGGTTCACCTTTCCCTCATTTTTTAATTGGTTGCAAACTTTTTTTCCGTGATCTCCCGATAGTGAATCATGCATTTTTGTTCAAAATTCCGAAACTTTTCGGACAAAGCCCAGAGTTTGCCTATATGGAGAGCTCCAAGCAAAAGTTTCGGAAAAACTCCATGATTTTTCCATTTTTTTTCTCGGAAATTTCTGACAGTGCAGTGTCAGCACGTGCACTTTGCTTGTCAGTCACGCGAGTCACACCATCGCGTTGTACCGCTCGTGTTCCTTGGGAGTTGTCAGCCAACGCCGAATCCGCTCTTCGTTTCAGGCATTCTTTGGTTTAGCTCACAACCTGCCGGACAACATCACCGTGCTGAGAATGCTGACAGGAGCTTCAAGGTAAGAAATACTATTTTTCAAATTTGATTCATTTTTTACGGGGGGGGAGAGGGAGACCTTAACCGTAGCTCTTTTCAGAGTGAACCTTTCTGATTTTGGTGGGCACTGAGTGCCAGTGCCTTGCAATACAGTCTTGTCGCAGATTTGGTTTAAACGATGAGGAATTTACTCTTAGTCGTACGCTGAAGATTCTCTAGATGGTAAACATTCCCTGAGGTGCCGCTGTCTTTATACCTTACCTTTGAAAATTTAAAAGGCAGTGACGATTTCCTTCATCCATACACGAAAATCTTCACCATAATATGTTGGTGCCGCCTTTCACCCTAAGGCATGTAGAGTACCCATCCTTCAATCGACAAGGATTGTGCACACTAATAGAATTACATCACGGAGCTTAACAGATTTGTTTAGACGAAATTGAATGTATGTTGTGCATCATAAACTCCACCCGTAAATAAGGAAACGTCCAGTGTGAAGGGAGTTGGTAACACAATGCAGCAAAATTGCTTGCAAGTTTCGGGAACAGTTTTGCGTTTAGTGTCCGTCTTAAGGCAGCTCTCTTGACGACGTTGATGGTTTCAGGAGCCGCTCTGCAACCGCCACGGAGGCCTCGCTGTTGAAGTCCGGCAAGAAGATTCTGGAGCACCTGGACGACGGCCTGCTCGAGTTCACCTCTCATGCAGAGGAATGGCGAAGGCTGTGTGACAGGGTCCAGGAGGCCCTGCAGCCTGAGGCTGCCTCGAAGTGGGGCACACCGGTAAGAAACACGTAATGCCCTCAAGGGCTTGAAATGTTCTGCCCTCCACACTCTAAATGTTCTACAGTGAAGATTCTCCATATTATGGTGAAAGTGTTCCATATTATGGTGGTGCAGCTGACTTCGTACCATTGAGAATTCACTGTACCTTATAGATATTTTAACGAATTTCGTTGGTATTATGGAGAAAATCTCCACCATAAGGGAAGGTGGGGTACCATGTGATACGGCCACCATGTGACTTTGGCTTTTTCTCCCAAACGGCTTGCTATCCAACAGCGGTAAGAAGACTCAAAGGAAGGTATCATGAAGGAGAATCGACGTGCAATAGGTCGTGACTCTCCTTCGAAAAGGACGGGAATGGTAGCGATCAGAATTGGAAATAGTCTTAAAATAGCTCATTGGAAACTCTTTCTATTTCCCGCCGCGTCCGCTTTTCACCTTTAAAATACATTTTAAGGACATATGCTCTGCAAGATGTTCTTCTTTAATGTTTTAAGCGCAAAATAAGCTTTGGCTCGATTCTCTGCGGCATAAACTTTGAGCGTTATTGCTGTTTCCCCTAAAGCTGTTGATCTGGGCACCATGTGACACTACTGTCATTCGCTATGGGATTCCACGATTCACTCAGTTGAATGTGTTCAGCCCATGACATTTGTACACTAATAACTAAAACCTTCATTGCTCGGGAACCAAAGATGATAAATTGATAAACTCAACGGAAATAAAAAGCTGGAAGACTTCTTCGTTCATTCTTTGCGTATAGGTACGCTGAATAGGATTTAAACCCTGACAAAAGGCCACTGTCACATGGTGCACTAAGGCTGTCACATAATGTACTACGTGGGGTACGAAGTGACACTTTGACTTGGCCCATTCAACTCGGGATAACTCAGCAACCAAAACAGATAAATTAGAAATCTCAACAGAAATTTTAAGGTGAAGAATCATTTTGTTCACATGACTACTTATGGATGTAATGTGATTGGTAGTATTGGGTTGACGGGCACTTAACAAAAACCGTCACATGGTACCCCACCTTCCCTTACTATGTTGGTGCAGCCTTTCACCGTAAGACGTGCATCTGCCAACACTCGCGTGGTGAAGATTGTCGTATTATGTTAGTGCAGCTTCGTGGCTAACCTTTGAAAATTCATTCTACCTTATAAACCCTGAAAACCGTACAAACTACTCAAGGCATTACAAAGAACCGAAGCTTGTTATAACAAAGTATCTTGAACTACGGTCAGCATGAGGTGCTTGTTACTCTGCTGCGTCAAGAGGGGCGTTAATTTGACTTCAATTACTAGTTTCCAAGACGGTTTGCAAAATTTGCGAAGGTTCACAGTGGCGGCGCTGACGTGTTGGCAGCGCAGGGAGAAGCTCTCCGACGCCGCGCTGCTCATGCAGGATGCCGACCGCCTGCTGTCGGCCGTGGCAAGCTGCAGCGTGACCGTCCAGGGCCGCGACGGAGCGACGCGGAGTGCGGAGCTGCGGCGTCAAGAGTACGTCAGCCTCCTGCTGCGGCTTCAAGACAGCGGCCGGCTGCTCCCTGCAGCTCAGGTACGGTGATACTGCACGCTAAAAAACGTCATGGGACTGTTTGTGTTCATAGATGCAACTTTAAGGGGGACACTGTAATTCAAAGGGTGAGACATATCACCAATTTTCGTCGATACGAAATATATCACCGAAAAAAAGGTCGTACACGAATGTATCACCGAAAAAATGGTCGTACATGCATGTATCACCACAAAAAAGGTCGTACACAAATGTATCACCGAAAAAAAGGTGAGATATCCGCGAGATTGGCCCTTGTTTTCCTGGGGAAGTATCACCCTTTTTCGGTGATACATTTGTGTACGACCTTATTTTCGGTGATACGTTTTAGTATCATCCTTTTTTCGGTGAGACAGTTATGTATCACCCCTCTGAAAGTGAGATGTATCACTATTTGATTTTCAGTGGACGTACGGGGGACCAGGGTATACCCTGGTGAAAAAATGGCCAAAAATTTTCCAAAATAGTGGTTTTAGAGTTCATAGATGTAAATGTGCATGGAAGGTTTCAGATTCAACAGGTTAAACCTGGGTTAAACACCTTAGCTTAGTGGCTGTTCGTTTACAAGCAGCAAACGCGCCAGCCGCACGGTAAGACTCGGTCCTGGTTTTCCTGTGCACTTAGTAGAGGAGAAAAACGGCCCTGGGAAAACCTGGACTGAGTCCTACCGTGCGGGTTTCGGCTGTTCTCATTATTGACGCGGACTGACGCCACATGCACGTTACTGACTTTAAAATTTTTCAAAATTTTGCTCATTTTGTCAGTACTTATGCTAGTAATCCGTGCAACAATAATGTGTACTTTTTATTTTCTACACGCTAAAGTCCTTACGGATAGCGTGTTTGTAGGTTACGGATAGTTTTGTGCAGCCATATTACGGATCGAATTTTATTTGTAATACGGATGTTTTTGTCCGTAATACAAAGATTTGGGAATCCGTATGTTACAACGAAATTATCTGTGAATTACGGACATCAAAACCTTTGTATTACGGAAAAAAATATCCGCATTACAAACAAAATTCGATCCGTAATATGGCTGCACAAAACTATCCGTAACCTACAAACACGCTATCCGTAAGGACTTTACTGTGTAAACAACTACTTGGGAAATATTTAATAATGTACTGACAATTTGGTTTTGTACATTATTTTACAAAGGAAATTAATAAAACTTACTTATAAAATACTGTTGCTTATACGAATGAGAAAAAAAAGTCAGCAACGTGCCGAGAGTGTGAACTTAGTTCTTATGCCTCTGTTATACCCGAGGGGTGAATCACTCGTGTACTCATGTGTACAAATTGGCCTGTAGTCTGTGTACTCACAAGTTTGAAAAGAGTGAAATTCGTTCATTTCTTACACGATTTGGCGTTGTGTGTTGTCTACCGCGCAATGAAGCCAAAAAAATGATTTAAAATGCGAAAATTATGTGTATCAGCAGGTGCACACTGTGCGAAAAAACCACGGTGAATCCCGTTAATTTTTTTGCCGGGATTTGCTGTAGTTCAGAACACAGGATTTACCGTGCCTGGCTACAGTGTCTACTGTACCTGCTACAGGATATTCCGTACTCCACTCGTGTGGTACAGTAAATCCCGTACAAAGTACAGTAGATCCTGTTAAAAAAGTACAGTAAATCCTGTCCTCTGAACTACAGTGACAGCTGTACTAATCACTACAGGATTTACTGTGATTTTTTCCCACAGTGCACTCACCCCACCCATACTCATGTACTCATGTGTACACCAGAACGCTGAGTTATTCACCCCTGGGTTTCACCAGACTTTTCGCTGCCGAATGCCACAGGCCCAGCCTCCGGGACAGACACAGGCCGAGCCGCAGGTGCAGCAGCAGGAGGAGACAGGTGCTGATCCCCAGGAGCAGGAGCAGAATAGGCCGGAGGCCAAGCTGCCGTGCGAGGAATCCGACCCAGCCCCCGGCACCTTCACTCCAGCGCAGTGCCTGGACTTGAAGGGCAAGGATGGGGACGAGATCGCGAGGCGAAGACCCCTGCTGCAGGTAAGGCTCTGACGTGGTGGTGTCGGATCCAGAGCGGCTGCTCTTTGGGTTGGAGGCGGTGTTTTCTCAACTACACACGGACCACATGAGATATAATAAATCTTGAAGTCTCAAGAGATGGGAATTTAATTACCTTTCCAACGAGCTAAATGTCATTGAAATCGGACAACTTATAGCCCAAGAACCGTCGATTTTTTCAAGAAAAACAACTGTGAAAATAGTTAAAGTATTTAGAGTAAATTTTAAAAATTGACTAAGACTATATACCTTTGCAGGAATGGACTTGTGTACGTAGAAATAAAGAAAAATGTCTTAACAGGTGTCAGGGTTGGATGTGAAATGGGAGAATCGTTGCGCTTCTGAAGTGCCGTTATCCCTAAAATTACCAAAAGTAACCTTGATGAAAAAATCTTAATAAAAGGATCAAAAATCTTCTAATATATTCCACAAGTAGTACTTTTCATTGAAGATGAGTTAAATGTCTCAGAAAATCAGTATGGTCTGGCAAAAACCCCACCTCCGTGAAAAGGCAAAGGAAAAAGTAGGTGTGTCTCAAGTTACCCCAAATGACGGGGTAACTTGAGACAACTTTAGAGGCCCATTACTCTCATTTTAGGAGACCCCCAAAAAATTCGTGGGGTCCAAACCGAATGTAATCATGTGAAATAGAACTTAGTTGGGATTCGGGTTGGTGAGAGAAGTTTTGTGGACACACGGTCCAAAAAACGTGAAATACTGTCTCAAGTTACCCCGGTTTACGGTCCTCAAGCTGACCGATGTGATCTTCCAGGTCCTCAAGGTGACCGATGCACAGTGGGTCAAAACGGTCAAAAGTGCGAAAAAAATATTTTATTATTGAAATTGACTCAGTTCGACCCCAAAAGACTACCAACCAAGTATTTTGAGGTTTGGGCAAAAAATAGCGATGCAGGGGGTCAAAATCGAAAGTTACTATCCCCGCACGCTCCAGGCGAGGTCAGATTCGGATTCCTCGCTAAACATTGGTCCAGAATCACTAAGAAAAAACTTTACTTTTTCAAAAACAAAAAATAGAGGGGTCAAAATCGAAAGTTACTATCCCCGCATGCTTTAGGCGAGGTCAGAATCGAATTCAGCGTCAAAAAGTAATTCAGAATCACTTGGAAAAAAACTTTACTTTTTTTGATGCATAATATACAGAGGTCAAAATCGAAAGTTACTATCCCCGCATGCTTTAGGCGAGGTCAGATTCGGATTCCTCGTTAAAAATTGATTCGGAATCACTTGGAAAAAACTTTACTTTTTTTAATGCAAAACGTTCATTGGTCAAAATCGAAAATTACTATCCCCGCATGCTTTAGGCGAGGCCAATTACGGATTCCTCATAAAAAAGTGATTCGAAATCACTTAGAAAAAAATTTACTTTTTTGATGCAAAATGAATATTGGTCAAAATTGGTCAAAATCAAAAATTACTATCCCCGCATGCTTTAGGCGAGGTCAGATTCGGATTCCTCGTTATAAAATAATTCGGAATTACTTTTTAACGAGGAATCCGAATTTGACCTCGCCTAAAGCATGCGGGGATGGTAAATTTCGATTTTGACCAATTTTGACCAATAAATATTTTGCATCAAAAAGTAAAGTTTTTTCCAAGTGATTCCGAATCACTTTTTACTGAAGAATCCGTATTTGGCCTCGCCTAAAGCATGCGGGGATAGTAATTTTCGATTTTGACCAATTTTGACCAATGAATATTTTGCATATAAAAAGTAAAGCTTTTCCCAAGTAATTCCGAATTACTTTTTAGAGAGGAATCCGAATCTGACCTCACCTAAAGCATGCGGGGATAGTAGTTTTCGATTTTGACTAATTTTGTCCAATGAATATTTTGCATAAAAAAAGTAAAGCTTTTTCAAAGTGATACCGAATTATTTTTTAACGAGGAATCCGAATCTGACCTCGCCTACAGCATGCGGGGATAGTAACTTTCGATTTTGACCTCTGAATATTATGCATCAAAAAAAGTAAAGTTTTTTCCAAGTGATTCTGAATCACTTTTTGACGCGGAATCCGATTCTGACCTCGCCTAAAGCATGCGCAGATAGTAACTTTCGATTTTGACCCCTCAATATTTTGCATCAAAAAAAGTAAAGTTTTTTCCAAGTGATTCTGAATTACTTTTTGACGCTGAATTCGATTCTGACCTCGCCTAAAGTATGCGGGGATAGTAACTTTCGATTTTGACCCCTCCATTTTTTATTTTTGAAAAAGTAAAATTTTTTCTTAGTGATTCTGGACCAATTTTTAGCGAGGAATCCGAATCTGACCTCGCCTGGAGCGTGCGGGGATAGTAACTTTCGATTTTGACCCCCTACATCGCTATTTTTGGCCCAAACCTCAAAATACTTGGTTGGTAGTCTTTTGGGGTCGAACTGAGTCGATTTCAATAATAAAATATTTTTTTCGCACTTTTGACCGTTTTGACCAGGGGTCTCCAACTCAGGCCCGGCGGGCCATTTGGCCCAGCTGGGCCCGCGGGCCCGAGCCCGGGCCAGCGCTACTGCTGCCTCAGCTACTCGCCGCTCTTCCCCCACTCCGGATCTCAGAGCGCTTTGCCGCTGTGAAGCCGTCCCCCACTCCACCCGCCAGTACCCCCACTCCGCTACCTACTACCTGTCTCTCTCGCTCCGGTCGCACCGGGCGGGCCACAGCGTGCCCGGCTTGGCCCGCCTGGCCCGCGGGCCAGAGGCGGGCCAACGAGTTGGAGACCCCTGGTTTTGACCCACTGTGCGATGTGATCTTCCAGGTCCTCAAGGTGACCGATGTGATCTTCCAGGTCCTCAAGGTGACCGATGTGATCTTCCAGGTCCTCAAGGTGACCGATGTGATCTTGCAGGTCCTCAAGCTGACCGATGTGATCGTGTAGGTCCTCGAGCTGACCGAAGTGATCTTCCAGGTCCTCAAGCTGACCGATGTGATCTTCCAGGTCCTCAAGGTGACCGATGTGATCTTCCAGGTCCTCAAGGTGACCGATGTGATCTTGCAGGTCCTCAAGCTGACCGATGTGATCGTGTAGGTCCTCGAGCTGACCGAAGTGATCTTCCAGGTCCTCAAGCTGACCGATGTGATCTTCCAGGTCCTCAAGGTGACCGATGTGATCTTCCAGGTCCTCAAGGTGACCGATGTGATCTTCCAGGCCCCAAGGTGCCCGATGTGATCTTCCAGGTCCTCAAGGTGACCGATGTGATCTTGCAGGTCCTCAAGCTGACCGATGTGATCGTGTAGGTCCTCGAGCTGACCGAAGTGATCTTCCAGGTCCTCAAGCTGACCGATGTGATCTTCCAGGTCCTCAAGGTGACCGATGTGATCTTCCAGGTCCTCAAGGTGACCGATGTGATCTTGCAGGTCCTCAAGCTGACCGATGTGATCGTGTAGGTCCTCGAGCTGACCTATGTGATCTTCCAGGTCCTCAAGCTGACCGATGTGATCTTCCAGGTCCTCAAGGTGACCGATGTGATCTTCCAGGTCCTCAAGGTGACCGATGTGATCTTCCAGGTCCTCAAGGTGACCGATGTGATCTTGCAGGTCCTCAAGCTGACCGATGTGATCGTGTAGGTCCTCGAGCTGACCGATGTGATCTAGGTCCTCGAGCTGACCGATGTGATCGTGTAGGTCCTCGAGCTGACCGAAGTGATCTTCCAGGTCCTCAAGCTGACCGGCCTGGACTGCCGCTTCGACAGGGAGAGCAACTCGCTGCTGTGCGTCGTGGCCCGTCGGCTGCGGGAGCTCCAGCTGGAGTGCGCTGGTGTGCGCCACATGCTGCTGCTCAGGGACGTGGAGGAACTGCGGAAGCTCGACGTGTCCTGCGTGGTGGACGACCTCTTCCCCGCCCTGCCGGCCAGCCTGGAGGAGCTCCGCATCCAGAACTGCACCGAGCGGCAGCTGGTGTCGACGCAGCGGATGCCCAGACTGCGGCGGCTGCAGGTGAAGGGGAATCGGGCTTGGATGTCGTTTCATTCTGAATTTTGATGGATTACAATGAATTTGATTGGGTTGCCGCGCACTTTGAAATGACATTCAATGAAATACGAGCTATGCTCCAGTGAAATCAGTGCAAGCACAATACGGAGCAATATTCCTTCGTGTTACGAATCTTTTCCGTATTTTCACTATGAGACAGGAAATCCTTCGTCGAGGGGTCGGCAACTCATATATTACTTCGTACACGGTGGCTATATTACCTGTATATTACCATATATTACTTGCATATTACCACAATTTCGCCTCTATAATACCCCTATATTACAATATATTACTTTGTATTACTTTATATTACACATATATTACTTTGTATTACTTTATATTACACATATATTACCTATATTACTGGTAATATACGTATACTCCCTCGTACACGGCCAAGGGGAGTTGACGACCCCTCGTCCTTCGTAATACGTAGGAAAACTACTCTCTTACTATGCTTGCGCCGTTTCCTTAGTAGTATGGGAAATTTCTTCATCAGGCATTTAGGGTGGGAATCTCGTAATGAGAAATATCAACGCATATCTTAAGAAAAGTAAATTTATTTGTATTAATAGTAAATTTTCATAAATTTTGAGGAAGTGACATGCATTCCAAAAAATTCCCACTGGAAAATTCATGCGCGTGAACTTAGAAACACGTTCCAAGAATTTCGACCAATTTTACCCCATTTTCGGATGAATTCCTTCGAGGTTTCACGAAAGTTTCGACGAATTTCTTAAAATTTTCACTCAAACTTTAATGAGTTTCCTAAAACATTGAAGGACATTCCTTAATTTTGAATTTCAGTGTGTATTTTGTCTCGAGCCTATCGCCTCTTTCTGCATGCAGGTGCTGTGGTACCTGGGGCCCGGCAACGTGGACTTGCGTCCGCCGCGCGCGGGGCACTGCGGGCTGCAGTGGCTACGTGTCTGCGTGGACAAGTTCTTCGTCGCCACGCTGTTCTCGCTGCTGCGCGCGCACGCGGCCACGCTCAAGGAGGTCCGGCTCGTCGTGGCCTCCGTCCCCGGCGGCGACCTCTTCCTCGGCGACCTGGGGCGCCGGCTGGCCGACTGCGGCTTCCAGGCCCTCGAGCGCGTCGTCCTGGAGCGCGAGATGGGCGCCATGGCCATAGAGCACGACGCGGCGTCCTGCTCCAGGCAGCTGGAGGATTGCACAGTGGTTTAAAATGCGATTTCGGGGGAATAAGTCCTAGCGCGTCCCGTGCGACCAAAGCTACCAGAATTGAACTGAATCATCTGTAGGCAATAGGCAAAGACCAGTTCAAAGGAAAAAGTGGTCCGATAAAAATTGGATTTATAAGCTAAATAATGAGAAAAATAGCAAAATTAGAAAAAAAATGACAGAATTGACAAAAAGTGCAAAACTAAAAATGCTCAAATACTTAGTTTTAACTTCTAGCCGCATTAAACCATTTTTTTCTAAGAAAACCCAAATATTTGAAAAGAAAAGCAATTGCACGAGTTTTTTTTCATTTGAATGGTGCACACCAGAAGCGATTATCCCAAAACTAATCAATTTGCCGTTTTTGTGGGTGTTTGGTCCCTTGCGTTTCGTGTTTCGGACGAGTGCGGAAAAGTTATCATCGGGCATCTTAATATACAGTAAGGGAAGCGCTCGCACCAATAACTCCGCCCCATCGGGCCCATCGATGTCCGAAACTCCAAAAGTGTGTTTTTTAAGTGTTGAACGCATTTGTAGCAAAAACCCGCCACCGTGAGCCAAACCGCGAACGAATGTTACGCTGTGTGCTGCTTTCCTTTGATTAATGATGAAACGAAAAGAAAAACCGCCAACATACCAGTACCATCGCCCTCATTGGAAAATAAGGTAGGAAACATCTAAGAAAATTAGGTGAATTTGATCAAAATACAAAAGACTAAAATCAAACCTTCCCAGTGGCTCCCAGCGTCATTTAAAAATCTATAAACGTCATTGTATATTGTATTGGAGTATTATAGTTCGTTTCCACCCCCAGAATGCCCCGCGCGACACTTTTGAAAAATCGCTTTATTCCCCCTAAAACAGGATTTTAAACCACTGTGGATTGCAGGGCCCGGGTGCGGACGGCGTCCCAGGCACTTCCGTCGAGGCCTGCACTGCACTACCGCGGCTGAAGCCGTTTTGGCGCAGCTCAGGCAATGTCGCAGAGTTGCGCGAGAATGTGAGGGACAGGTGCGTGATATGTGTCGCCTTCGTGATGGTCAACGCGTCAGATTTATAGACTTGAAACGGTTGTTTGTGGAATTCAAGATATGCCGCAGTCTAGACTTAGTATTCATTTTCTTATCTTCTTTTCTTTTTCTTATAATAAAAGTTTCTTTTTTTGATGAAAGTGTGCATGTATTGGTCATATTTTGTTTCGCTATCTGTAATTTCAAAGCGAGGAGTCAATAAATGCTTTATTTTTGGTAGTCTTCTGTTTACTAGAAGGCAGGATGGAAACACGCAATTTTTCCACAAGTGGAGTGGGTTTTTCTCCTACTTTAACTGACTTCATTCGTCATCAATGCACAGAAATTTGGGTAAGTGCGATAAAATTTCCCACGTTAAACAATGGGTACTTTCATTGAACCCCGGCAAAATAGCACATTCCCCAAGGAAATGAATGGAAATCCGATCCTTACTGAGCAAATGAAGGCAAACACTCGTCAGCTCTAAACTTAGCTCTGATGATGTCTCCATATGGAAAGCCAGGGATTTCCAAAGTCGGCTTGGGGACCGGAAAAATGTCAGAGAGGGTCTTACACAAGTTTAAAGGGAAAAAAACAATTTTGGGGGCACGAATCAAATTTTGGGTCATTTTTTTCGACGGGTCACCGCGACCCGACAGAGATTGAATCGATTTGAATTTTGCGGTAGACCTTTCCCCCAACCTTTCTTTGCTTCCCAAATAGCGTGTATGTCCGAGCGACGACTGTAACGGCTCCTATCAGGCTTCAAAGGAAGGCCCTTCAAAAAGTCGTAAAAAAGGCGCCATCCAAGAGGCGAAAATCGTGTGTTTTTCAAATTGCCACCGTGAAGCTATTACGAGAAAAATGGGACGCCTTGCTGATTTAGGTTCATAATAGGTCAGGGAACATAAATTTACCATAGTACGGCCGAAATCATTCGTGCCATGGTGCGCGGGTGCTGGCAAAGTAGCGTTCGCTACCATGTCAGACCCATTATTTTAGACGAATTTTTACGGTATTTTCCTGCTTTTTTGTTTTCTGCGCTTCTGAATGACTGATGTATCACAGAAAATTTCCCTTTTTCTGCTGTCACTTTAGTACTACGATACGAGGTTTATGTTAGCTTAGGCTACACCCCCGGATGACAACGCTAGCTCTTTCCCGTTGCCATGCTATAAGGCTTTTTTTTTGGGGGGGGGGGGGGGGGGGATTGCGGGGCTTACATAGCGCCCGGAAGGGGACCGCTCTCCAACTGCTGGCTAGGCCCCGAGGCCAGTCCGGCCCTTTAAAAAGAGTCAAATTTAAACCCTACAGACTAAATATTCTGACTGAAATAGATAATAAATTGTAGCAATACCTCATGACAGGGGTGGTGTTGGATTGTCTACCACACCGGCGGCCCTACAAAATGCACTATAAAAATTTCGTCTCTAATCCCGGACGTTTAACTCACATCTGTCTCACAGTGAAATAGCCTGTTTATGTATTTTTCCTCTTTGAGGAAAACGTGTCTGCCTGGTTTTTGAGAAACCCGGGACCTTTAATTTAAAGAAAATAAGAAAATATCTTGCAAAAATGGTCAATTTACAAGCAAAAAAACGAAATGGCCCCCAAATTTATGTGACCCACAATTGATTCATTGTGCTACAGATCCTGCAGTTTTTACGATTCCCAAAAATAAATTTAGAAGTGAATTTCTCTCGTATTTAAGCAAATCATATCCAAATTTGAGCTTCCTACAATGCTGACCCACAACTGGTTCCAAAAATCAATTGTGGGCCAAAACAGACTATTTTTAAACAGTCACAGCTTAGTAATAAGATGATAGACGGGCTACTATGCTGCAAAACTTAGTCAAGGACCCTAGTTTAAGGCCGCACATGCACTTTTGTCACTAGGTCAGAATTAAAGGCCTTAATTTCGAATTTTCAAAAATGTGACCACAATTGATTTTTTACCTTACAATGACAGAGATGTCGGCAACACCTTATGATGTCACAGGTGCGGACCGTTACCTTTCAAATAATTTATGGAAGAAATCCGCCATACATGGTCGAAAATAAACTATGATCACTGTCAACGGAAATAAAACTGGAGATAGAAAATTTGCCGACGTAATGTGGGGACCTACAATCATTGAACAGTGATCCATTTCATCAGGAAGGGACTGGATTATAAGTTCACGGTTGACACAGTTGAACCCTCATTTGGAATTGCTGTACAGTGCAAAGTACGCGTTTTGAACTTTTCTTCCCTAACCTACCCCTACGTTCTTTTCTGAGCATGCATAATTATGCATAAAAAGGTCGAAATTAGTGTGTGAGTTCTACTCCTCCTACACAGCTCTGCCGTTCCAGCTACGATTTTGATCACCACATGCCGAAATTCAGCTTTTCATCTCAATCCATTCAGTTCTACCAAAAAAAAGAAACACTTCAAAACGACAGAAAAGGGACAACTCTTGCAGGGCTGTGAAATACGTAGTTAAAAAGTACCTAGGTACTTTTTTAGTACCCAAAACTGTACCTAGGTACTTTTTTAGTACGTTAGTACGTTTAGTACCCAAAACTGTACGTAGGTACTCAAGTCACAATTGTAACTGTACCTGTACCTAGGTACATTTTGGGCAGTAACTTTACCTAGAACTGCAGGTACTTTAACAGGTACATTTGGGCGCGAATAGGGAAAGACGGGTAATGAGATGCGCTCAAAACAGTGCGGGGATAAAGAAAGACACTCAGAGGACTGCCTGTTTCGGGAAGAGAAAACAGATATTCGGCCCCCTCCCCTTTTTATGTGCCTCCTCCGGGCTCCATGTGGCAGGTCTCGTCACCGCATGCACTGCCAAGGTGGACGCAGAGGACTTGCACTATGAAACAATGGACACATCTCAGCAGGGATCATAGGGTTTGTCCCTAAAATGCGTTACTGGCGATGTGTGAAATATCATGAAAACCTGCACTGAAATAACCTGGAAGTACAAAAAAACATAGGTATTTATGAAAGTACTGACAAAGTTGCTCCAAGTATGTTATATTTGCCAAGTACCTGTAAACGTACTACACTGCAAAGCCGGTGGTAAGTTGACTTGCCACAATTTGGCAAGCCGTTTTGAATGCCAAAACTCGGCAAGCTTGCCCTGGAAATACTCCCCAGCATGCCAAAATTTGGCAAGCTTAGCCTGGAAATACCCCCCAGCTTGCCAAGATTTGGCAAGCTTATGAAGATTTCTGACCACAGCTTGCCAAATTTTGGTATTCAAAACGGCTTGCCAAATTTGTGGCAAGTAAACTTACCACTGGCTTTGCAGTGTAGGTACTTTTTTGATCCAGTATCTGTATCTGTACCTAGGTAAAAATATAAAGTATCTGTCCCAGCCCTGAACTCTTGTTAGACTTTCCTTAGATTTTCATCGCCTTATGTGTTTTCGATAGTACTCAAAATTGAATTCATTTTGACCCCCGACCCAGACTTGATCAGGCCGCTGAGCCCGCACCACAAACAAGAATCTGCATATTAAAGTTCAAACAGTTGTACAGTACACAATTTTTATTAAATTCGGTTCCATAATAGTTTCCAGGTGTTGATCTTAAGGATAAGATCTTTAACGTAACTCTTTAAATGTAGCAAGAATACAGTATGTGAAAACAAACATAATATTTATAAATCGAGCATAAGGCACATCGTGCGCTGAACATCAGAATAATGAATTTACAATGTTTTGAAATCATACTTAAGTTTCATTACTCACTTCGCGCGATGTCGCGCACTGTCCATTGATTAAAACAAAGTCTACGGAAGGTACTACTCACCAGCCGAATGAGTTCGACCGCAAGGCCCGATTAGTCAGTGGGCTGAGGGGGCGACACAGCTACTTGAAAGCAGTTGCACCCAGCCTTTCTTTTGTGAGACGAAACCGGTTGCCTTGAATAGTCCGCCCGGCTGCTGCGATGACCTCGAGAGCACCAAACGCAGAAGCAGGCGTAGACTCCTCTGCTTCTTCTGTTATGAATGAACAGGTGCAGATCAGGGTTCCTGATGAGGAGATCCTGGATGGCGGGTTCGTGGAGCCATGCGCGGATGCTTGGGTTCTTGGGAGGATACACAACCAGCGTGGCGAGGCGAGGCAGGGACACAGGGCTGATAGTGCGCAAGAAGTCATCCGGGGGCTCAGCATCCACACTAAGGGTCCTCAAGGAAGGGAACTGGTGCAGCACATCAATGAGCCCCTCAAAGTAAAAGCCAGGGAAACAGTTTAAATCTAGTGCCTCAACAACCGCAGAAGAAAAGGAAAGGCTCAATGCTGATAAATTGGCAGGGGAATGCAATGGCATTGTCACACTTTTAAGATGCGACGCCCGACGTAGGAACTTGAGTGTGCCGGGACAGAAGACGTCCTTTTCTTTAGGCACTTCGTCGAGGTCGTACAGTAACTCGAATGAATCGAGGTTTTCCAGATTCGACAACTGAGCCAAATCCTTATGCGACATACAAGCCAAGGATCGGAGCCTGGGCAACACCATCAGCAACGACACGGGAACATCCCTAAAGTAAACCCGAACTTCTTGAAGTGTATCTGCATGCTTTTTAAGCAAATATTCAGCGAAGGGATCCATTCTGTCTCCAATGATTTCGAGTCTTTTAAGGGTTGGCATCACCTCAACATCAAGATTACGCAAGGTAACCTGAAGAGGCTCTTCAAACGGATAGTGAAAGTCAAAATACAAAAGGCCGGGCAAGGAACAGATGGCCTCTGCGAGCTTTGTGAGAGTCTTGACGGGGGGCTCCCCGCCCCATTCGATATAGAGCTCTCTCACGCCTCCGACAGAGGAAAGATGCAACAAAACATCAATGGCCAGAAGAACATCGTTCTCAGTAGCTAAATCGAAAGAAAGGCCGTCGACGACACAAGTGCTACCCGGCACAAGTGAGGCCAGGTCCAAAGCCGCGAGGGGCGACGATAGGTGCATTCCCTTGAGGCATGGGGCGACGGCCAGCGCGGCGAGCAGCACGCCTGCGTCATCGTCCCACACATGAACCTTCCTCCACAGGTCTCTGTGCTCGCAGATGTCGCGGAGGCGGCGACAAACGGTGCGGCAGGCGAAGAGCTCCCTCGGAGTCAGGAAGGCCAGCACGACCAGCAGCGCGTCGTCTGGCAGCGACAGGAACTGTGGACCAACCAATTCCACATTCGTAGAGGCAACCCGGGCCGCTTCAACCGTGTTTCTTATAGGGTATTCCCACGCCCTCCCAGAACGGAAGTGAGAAGACCGACAACAGCAGTCAAAACTGGCAGTAAATATGCGAAATCTACGCGGCGGATGAACTTTGCCGCGTAAATTTCTCATCAGAACTGCCATCTCTCACTTCCGTTTTGGAAGAGCATTGAATACCCTATTAAGGGGGGCACACCAGTGAAAATCGTCAAATTTTGGCCTTTTTATTTTACTGCTATCCATTTCGAATTGAATGCTGCAAACCCCACCCCAAAATTCCAATTACTTTGACACTTGTGCACATATTTGCGGAATCGGTTCATCGGGGATCTTAATTGGCAACTGCAGACTTAAATTAAGTTCGAAGATAAAGTAACTTACCTCAGAATGGACCATGTTGACTGAGAGTACGGGCGCGATTTGCAACAGCTGAAGCTTCGAATGAAGGTTGACGCCGTCTTCCACTGTCTGAGCCAATCTTCAAAGCTGCGAAGACTGCCTGCAAAGTGGAACCAGAACACATTACAATCCTGTCAGCGATCGATCAACTGGAGTTAACTGACACTAAATCTGTACGTAGTTTTGACATGCGAAGCTCCGCACGGAACTAGTGCATTCCAAAATGTATGCTCTATTCCGCACTGCAAGAAAAAGTTTGAATAGAACAACAAAAGTACAACAAAAAACTATGCAATAACAGTTCAATAGGAATTGTATAAAGTACAACGAGAATTGTACAAACCGCGACGAGGCCTGGACTGCACAGCACTCGTCATGCCGGTTCCATTGTACTTTGTACAATTGTTGTACTTTGAAAGTACATTGAATTCCTGATTTTAAAAAAAATTGCGACTAGTGTACTTATGTTGTCGTTTTTTTCTAACGAAGGAAATGGCGCAAGCATAATACGAAGGTGGTTTTTCTTCGTATTACGAAGGTTTTCCTTTGTATCTTACAATGAAAACGGTTACAAGATTCGTATTACGAAGAAATATTCATAGGCCAAATTTCATTGTAAGACATTTCGAGTGCACTTTTTAAGTAAACAATTGTTATGCAATGGATAACTGGCATGACGAGTGCTGGGCAGTCCAGGCCTCGTTGTGGTTTGCACAATTCTCGTCTTACTTTACACAGTACAGTATTCTATAGAATATAGTCGTCGCCGATCGAAGAACAAGAAGAACAAAGCCGGAACTGGCGCCGGCTACATAACCTCCCAGACTTCTATGAGTGGACCAGTTACTGAGTTTACTGCGGCGTATCTCCTTCTAAAGCACTTTCGTTTGTTCCAAACACTTTTAGACATAGGAAATAAAAATGCCTGTCGAAAGTAAAAAAAAGCTTAACATTTATCTTTTGTGATTCTTCTTGTTCTTCACTCGGCCACGACTAGAATGGTCTATAGAGTTGCCCACTTCATGGAGGCTGTGTATGTTGTATACTGAAAATGTGTTGTGAATTTACAACGGAATATTTTACGAAGGTTTTTGGGAATGTCCAAAAGTGCACTGTAAATGTTTCTTTCCTACAGGAACTATTGTAAATCAACGGAAGTTCTTCGTTAATTTATGAAGGTCCTCAGTAAATTTACGAAGAAAAATCGTAAATGTACAGAATCTGTTGTAAATTTACGAAGGGCTTCGTAAATTTACGACGGGCTTCGTAAATCTACGGCGGACCTTCGTAAATAAACGAAGGAACTGATGGCAATTTTTTTGCCGAAGGATCCGTCGTTAATTCCAGACGTATAATTGCGAAGGTTCCCTGTAAATTTACGAAGGTGCTTCGTAAATTTCCATTATGATTGTAAAATCGACAGAGATCGTTCAAAAAATTAACGAAGATTCTTGTAAATATACGAAGAGCTTCGTAAATTAACAAAGGAACACCGTTGGCAATTTTTTTTGCCGAAGGATCCGTCGTTTATTCCGGACATTAATTTTTACAGTGTACTCGGGCCGAGCTAGTTCAGGTACCCACCCCTAACCCAGCTAGCTACTGAATATGATGATGTAACAACAGTCATGCAGTCAGCAGGGCCCGTCGGACCCAGATCGGAAGTCAAATGTAAATAGAGTACTCCAAAGAAGCTCTGGCCCGGAAGAAGAGGAACAAAAACGGAAGTAAGAAATTGCAGCGTATCTATGAGAAATATACGCTGCGCATGAGGGTCTGCAGCGTATATTTCTCATAGATACTGCAATTTCTTACTTGCGTTTTTGTTCCTCTTCTTCCGGGTCAGAGCTTCTTTGGAGTACTGGGGCGTTCCACGTCAAACCATCATGGTCCAAAAGTACTTGCTCAGATCCGGCCCCCAATTTTTTATCTGGTAGTGTACCACCCAAAGACCACTCTCATAAATTTTTTGAAAAAAAAATTCAGAACTTTGGCCACAGTGATTTTTTGAAACTTCAAAAAAATATAAATTTTCTTTTTAGTTTTTTAAATTGTGTATCTAGGTGCTCAAATGGGTTGAAAACAGTAAAAGGCAACATAAAATAGTGAAAAAAAATTGGGACCCCCAGCCTTTACCCGAAACAAAGTTTACGATAAAAAAAAACACGGTTTCTTAAATTTCCCCAAAAATACGCCGTCTCACTTTTGGACCATATTGGCATCAAAGGCCCCCAATGAGGTACTCTAACTGTCACTAAAAAATTAGGGACGGCAATCCATAAACACCAGAGATATTGTCAAAAAACTCTAAAAGTTATCGAGAAGCTTTTTACCCCAAAATTGTCAAAATGGGACCTATATTGGTTCCGCTGAGGCGCTGTGCACTGAAATACTATTCAATTGTCTGTCTTGACACCATGGAAGATGTGAGAGAGGTGAAGGTCAGCATTACAAGAGTTTTGGAATAACACGGCAATAAGTTTTTTTAAATTTTAATAACCAAATGCGACAAAATGCATTGTTTGGCAGTCGCCCAAATGAAGCTCATGATTGGTGGGGACTTCATCCAAGCCATCTTCACCTTGACCATGCAACTGCTGGAGACTTAAAAGAAGAAAATGAAGATGACCTGGATGAAGTCCCCACCAATCAATGACTTCATTTGGCGACTGCCAAACAATGCTTTTTGTCGCTTTTGGTTATTATAATTAAAAAAACTTATTGCCGTGTAATTCCAAAACTCTTGTAATGCTGACCTTAACCGCTCTCACATCTTCCATGGTGTTAAGATAGACAATTGAATATATTTCAATGCACAGCGCCTCAGCGGAACCAATATAGGTCCCATTTGACAATTTGGGGGGAAAAGCTTTGATAACCTTCGATAACTTTTAGAGTTTTTGGCAATATCTCAGGTGTTTATGGATTGCCGTCCTAATTTTTAAAGTTAGAGTACCTCATTGGGGTCCTTTGATGCCATATGGTCCAAAAGTGAGACGGCGTATTTTGGGAATTCAGAACCGTGGTTTTTTTTATCGTTAACTTTGTTTCTGGAAGGCTGGGGATCCAATTTTTTTTTTCACTATTTTATGTTGCCCTTTACTGTTTTCAACCCATTTGAGCACCTAGATACACAATTTTAAAAAACTAAAAGAAAATTTGTTTTTTTTTTTTGAAAGTTTCAAAATCACTGTGGCCAAAGTTCTGAATTTTTTTTCAAAAAATTTATGAGAGTGGTCTTTGGGTGGTAACTACCAGAAAAAATGGGGCCGGATCTGAGCAAGTACGTTTTGGACCATGAGTTTGACGTGGAACGCCCCTACTCTATCGTAGTAACGTTACGCTAGCCTAGCCAACCCCCACTCCCTCCCACAGCGTAACTTGATCCCGAATTTCCTTCTTGAACGAAATTAAGACCTAAATTCACTGCTGATATTTTGGATATCACATATTCCTTCTAAAGTGTTAAGCGTGACGTTACGCTAGCTCTGACGCCCGCGGCAGCCTGAACGGCAGCATTTCAGGCCTCGCACTGGGAAAAAGAAAAATTATGCCCTTTAAGGCCGGAAACGATTTACGCCTTTAAGGCATATGTTTGCTTGGGAAGGGCACTTAAAATTTTGCTTGAACTATCCATTTACCCCCCTTCCCCCCAAGCGAAAACCCCCGAATTTCCCTTGCAATGACCTAAAAGGAGGATATTATTCCCTAAAGGGCGTGACTTTTTATGCCCCGGAGCTTGAAACCAGTGCCGATTCCAACCTCCGCTTAGAATTCTCCAACGAACTGGTGTACCTCAAAGCATCAGTGAAATCGATCAATGGATGTGCACACTCACACTTTCATCGAAGCACTCACCTTCCTAGGAATCTGGAAAGTCGGTAATCCTGTCGTAGAGACCTGTCGCCAACGCTGACCAGCCGCACAGGAGAAGGGGAGGAGCAGCTAGGGGTAAGTTGAATCACACGGTGACATCTGAGGAGAAAAGAACAAACAACTGCTATTTGAAAAGCCTCAGATAACAGAGTGAAAAAGAAAAACAAGTTGCAATCATTACGAACAGATGAAATAGGGTACACGCGAAAGAGCTGGGCCGGTAGTGAAGAAGAAATCAAGAGGATCCAACGTGAGACTTTCGTAAAAACATATATCTTCGGGAGCGACAGTACGGCGCTGAAGACGCGCTTCTCGGAAATTTTGCGTGCTTCGATTTGATGTTGTCTGTTTTCGAGGTATGACGATAGGATGCTCCAAGGTCTAGGAAAGCAGCTTGCCGAAGGCAGGATAGCGCCGCAGGCCAAGGTAGGTGTATACGCCAGGCGTGGATTGTCGAAACTGGCGCAGCATCGCGAAGCCTGTTACAACACACGGTCTGGCGTACACCTACCTTGTTTATTCATTATTATTGTCCATTATTATTATTCATATTTCACACCATTCATTCCCCTCACTTTGAGGCGTCGCGGGGCATCCTAGCTTGATTCTCGACCAGTTGAATTAGTAATTGTCAAGTGATACTTACATAACATTGCACGTATTATGGCCACCTACAGAATTGCGTCTGCGAATGAGAAACAGTCAGGCAGAGGCTGAAACCACCCTGTGAGTGCTTGCAGATGGAGTGCATCGTGTGCCTGGAGCCGTACGACGAGGGCCGCCACCGCCCCAAGGCGCTGCCGTGCGGCCACTCGCTGTGCTTGGACTGCGTGGCGAACCCGCAGCTGGGCCGGAAGTGCCCTGAGGACCGCGTGGTGAGTCAGCCGCTGGAAATAGTATTCCGACGCATTACGGTACTGCTGGGATGAGCTGGGACAGTTGTCGTTTGTATCGCCCTAAAACTGAAGCCCAAAGGGCCAAAACTGACCAAATTTTTGACAAGACTTTCAGGTCTGGCCAAAACTTGGCAAGATTTGAAGTCTCGCCATATTCTGGCGCAAAGACTTCCCCTTTAATTTGCTGTGATCTCAGCCGTTCGCAGTAGATCTGCACAATTTTGTCCGTTGACGAATTTGTTTTACAATGAAAGTTGCTGAGAGTATTGTTCATACTCGCCTTTTTGCTCAAGATCTTTTAACTAATAAAGCCATAATTTAACCTTAAATTAGTAAACCATTGGTTAATTTTACTTCATACAAGGATGAGAGTGGCGGTTGCAGCGACAAACTTATAATAATTACTAGTCCGTGTAGGTTCAGGTGTTCTGAGATCTTTCTTTTCCACCTCATTTCGAAAAATAACGTGCATGTCATACTCTTTCGTACATTCTAGAGATTTCATGGATCAGCTGACACTCTCCCAGACAACATAACGGTGCTCAGAATGCTGACGGCACCTGCACGGTAAGTAAATTAAGTGTGCAGAGGCGGAAACACTAGTATTTAACAGAATATCGTTAATGCACCACCGACCCTCAATTGTACAAACTGAAAGTTTTTGTAGAATTTTGTACGTGTAAAGAAGACGATTAATTGCCTAAATTGCCTAATTTTATGCAAATTTGAGCACAAGTTCGATGCGAAACGTCTCACTGGTTAAAAACCATGCAGCACCGCGTTCAAAACTGATCCAGGAAGCGGAAGAAGGGAATAACTTGACTTATCCCCAAATTGAGTTTTTATTTTATTATTGTGCCTTAGAATGGTTTACATCATTACACCAAATTATTTGACTGAATTCCAAGCAGTTTAGGAGAAAATCCACATGGAAAAAGGGTATAACTCAACTTAACCCCTTTTACAGTCTAAATTTCATTGGAAAATGGAGATAACTCAACCTTAGTCTACATGAGTCCGTTTGACAAATTGGCAAAAGGATATAACTCAACTTGTGTTTTTATGGATCTAGTGTTAAAAGAATCAACTCAACTTAACCCCCCCATAATTTTAAATTTCAATTTGGAAAAAAGAGCTAAGTCCAAAAAATACACCAGAGTAACATACACTTTATGCAGACTATTGTTCCACTTGACTTGTCTCAAAATTCCTCTTGGTTTAGGAAATATAAGGTGAGCTGACTCTGTTTTCCATTTCAGCGGAAAGTGATAAGTCGCAGAAATCCTCTACGGATTGACCTTACACTTTTGATTTTTTTTCCAAAATTTTACTAATGCTTTTTGAAATTATTAACATCTGCAACATTCATTTGTTTTGTTTTAGTTTTCCCTGCTAACAGTTTTTTGTTTCTCCTGAAAAATGACCAAAATTGAGTTATCCCCTTCTTCCGCTTCCTGGATCAACTGTACCTACACGCTTTAAAACTTACGAAGTATTTTGAGCCTACATAGTTCAAACAAATTTACTTCATTATACGGAGGAATAGTTCGTATAAAAGGTAGTATTTTCTTTGGAAGCTTTAGTATGCTAAACATTCTTTGTTACAACCAGCTGCTTTGTCTTTTTAAGGCTCAAAATAGTTTGTAATATTTTCGCAGCTTAAACATTTAGCGCGTAGCTTATTTCGCTCAGGTTGCTTTAAAAAGTGTCACACCACTCTGTTATGTTGTAACAACTGCAACCCTCTCCCCCTCTAAATTCCTGAGCGGGTTCGTCTCGCACTTGGTAACTTCTGGTAACTTGTTGTTCTCAGTTAACTGATTGGCATTTCTTCCTTCCCAGGCCCCCTCCCGCCCCCACCACGGACCACGCCCACCTGGAGGGGCTCCCCCAGTCAACAAAACATAGTCCCGGTCCGGGACGGACCATGTTCGGACTATCCCTGTAGTGGTCCCTGCATGGTCCCCTGGGGATGTCCCTCATGTACCTCCCAGGGACGTCCGCTCGGACCACCCGGCCGGTGCAACCGACGGGTCCAGCCGACAGCAGACGTCCTCCATAGGTCCGGCGGACGTCCCATCGGGACCCGTGAAAGGTTGCGAAGGGCTAGATCCAGCCGACGTCCCTGGGTCGTCCCAAGGACGTCCTTTAGGGACATGGCCCCGCGTTGCTTGGGCAAAACGCCGATGTACCAGTGGTCCGAGGCCTGTCCCGCCGGGCTAATCCCGGCGGATATCCTTTGCGGACGTCCCAGGGACGTCCTATTGGGACATGGCCCCTGGCGCATAGGCAACACGCCCGACTGCCAGTGGTCCCTAGCTGGTCCTAGCGGGCTAGTCCCGGAGGATGTTCCTTGAGGACGTCCCAGGTACATACTGTTCGGACATGGCCCTTCGATGAGATGACAACACTTTGAAGGAAAAGTCCAAAGTCATGCCTCAATGTGTGAAACGAGACCCATGCATGGTCCCGGGCATGGTGCGCGCGGGACCTCCCTGGGACCTCCCCAGGACGTCCGACGGGGACATCGCTACGGTGGACGCGACGTATCATGTAGTCGAGACACTACACGTCATGTTGCATGTGAGCGGCATGGCACAGTGGATAAGTGCGCTGCTTCACAACCTGAAGGTCGGAGGTTCGACTCTCCCCAAGTGCAACGAGTTTTCATCGTCCGAAGGGAAAGGTGAAGGGTAAGGACGGTCGGGAGTGGCAAATTGAGGTCAAGCTAACACACTTGCGTTCAAATTTTTAACCAAAATTTTTAACGCTGAACATGGGACGTCCCTCGGTGGTCCGAGGGACGTCCGCCGGGATAGTCCCTACGGACGTCTGCGGCGGACGTCCGCGGAACGTCCACCCGGGACGTCCGGTTCGGACGTCCCTCGGACCTCCAGGGGACGCGTTTTCTTTGCCATCCGGAGGTCCCCTCGGACGTCCGACCGGGAGGTCCGGGTAGTCCCGGCCGGACGTCCTTCGGACGTCCACGGGACTATGTTTTGTTGACTGGGGCTGCAGCGCGGGCTGGCGTCCGCCGAGAAGGTGATGCAGCGCGTGGACGACGACCTGACTCGCCACGGTGCCGGGGATTGGCTGCTGTACCAGAACAGGCTCCAACGGGGGCTGCAGCTTCTGCAGGCCTCGCAGCGAATGCCCTCGGATGACGTCAGGAAGAGTCTCTCCGAGGCCGCTCGGCGCATGCAGGTGAAACAGTGCGACTTTACACTGAAATACACTCTAAATACACTCTAAATTGTTGTGGAATAAACAGTGATGCAAAATATCATACACATGTGTATCTGTGTATACACACGTATCTGTGCATGTGAAATGCATTAAAAATGGCGTTGTCATACATTTAAAAAGTCCACAAGAGTTTAGTGCGTACAATTGTAACCTTCTACTAAGCACAAACTTACAACTGCGTGGTTGCAAGTACTCACTCTGAAAAATCATGCTTGGCAAGTACACAGCTACATGCTTGGCGTCCCATATAACTCCGTATGTATCGTAAGTGTACTTGCAAAGTACAGTATGCATTTGTAAATAGGTACTTGGTCAAGTATGCGTTTGTACGTATGTACTTGCAAGCACACATTTGTAACTGTGTATTTACACTGTGGCAAAAAGCTACGGAAAATTCTGTAAACAGCTTGTGGTAATTCTCCGTAACCCCCTTATCAATATTCTCCGTAGGCTCTTACAGTATTTTCCGTAGGACCGCACAGTATTCTCCGTAGGACCTTACAGTGATCTCCGTAGGACTATACAGTCTTCCAGGTCCTACGGAGAAGACTGTGCGGACTTACAGAGAATACTGTACGGCCTTACGGAGAATACTGTAAGAGCCTACGGAGAATATTGATAAGAGGGCTACGGAGAATCCTGGCAAAAAAATTAACAGAATTTTCCGTACCTTTTTGCCACAGTGTAGTAGACAATACGGTCTGTCTGTAGTGTTGCTCAAAATCGAATTCAATCGGCCCCCGATTAGATTCGATATCGAAATGCGTTTTGATACTGAATGACTCATAACTTTTCAAATCAGTCAAGTTTTCTATGTCGAATTTTTAGTCATGTCGTTTTGTCTTTCAAAGAATAATCCGATTTGATGTCGAATAATTTTACAATCGAATAAGATTTGGTAGATTTTTGAGCAGATTCGATTCGACCCGACCAGATAATCCCTGATGTTTTGATGCAGGATGGCGAGCGCCTGCTGTCGGGTGTGGACCGCTGCACTGTAACGGTGCGGGACCGCGATGGAGTGATGAGGAGTGCCGACCTGCAGACCGGGGAGCTCCCTGTCTGCCTCTTGCTGCGCCTCCAAGACGGCGGTCGACTTGTCCCGATGGTCCAGGTAGGGCACGGCCTTCCCGTTATTGGTGTTTCCGGTTTGACTATCTATTTGCACTTTATTCCACTGATAAAAGTTCTGTCATGACTGAATAACACATTTATCGTTTAACTGTTAAGTGGCATTGTTTTGGAGTGGATAGCTTGTTGGATCACTGCTTTATTGCAACGAAAGAATATTTCTATTATGACTAACTTGTAATGATGTAGACCAATAGCAAATGTTGTTACTCACGAGTCTTCTGATAGAGATTTGTTATGTCTGAGACACAAATTAAGTTCTTTAACGTGAATTTTTTGGGTCTACTTAAAAGCCCACGAAGCATTTGCTCCATTACTACAGAGAAAATGGAGGCATTGTAGAATTGTTTCGTATTATGAAGAAATGCTTCGTGTTACGAATGATTTTGCTTCATAATACGAAGCATTCCTTCGAAGAGTTTACAACGCCTTCATTTTCTTCGTATTGCGAAGCGATTCTTCATAGAGTTTTTATTGTGCACCGTAAACACTTAGCGTGTGTCCGTATAGTTCGATCTTCCCAACGCAGGAGGAGCCACGGGCCCAGGCGCCGTGTCTGCCTGCGGAACCACCGCCCACTACGGCATCATCGCCGATGTCTTCCCCAGCAGTGTCTCCTCAGACGTCCTCACAGGCATCACCAGCCCTGTCTTCCCCGCCAGCGTCTCCGACCACATCCTCAGTGTCGTCCCCACCAGCATCACCACCTATGTCAACCCCTCCGACATCTCCACAGACCTCGTCAACACCGACATCAACACTGGCGTCGTCTCCACCGACATCACCAATAGCATCGTCACCACCGACTTCACCAATAGCGTCGTCACCACCGACATCACCAATAGCGTCGTCACCACCGACATCACCAATAGCGTCGTCACCACCGACATCACCACTGGCGTCGTCCCCACCAACATCACCAATAGCGTCGTCACCAATAACGTCGTCACCACCGGCGTCGTCCCCGCCAACATCACCAATGGCCTCGTCACCTCCGACGTCACCAGTGGCGTCGTCACCACCGACATCACCAATAGCCTCGTCACCACTGACATCACCAATAGCCTCGTCACCACCGACATCACCAATCGCTTCGTCACCACCGACATCGCCAATAGCCTCGTCACCACCGACATCACCAATAGCCTCGTCACCACCGACATCGCCAATAGCTGCGCCACCACGAGTCACTGAGCGCGGTGCTGTGAAACGGCAAGGCCCATCAGGTGCACGCGGTTGTGTCAAAAAATTTCGATTTGTGTATTCCTTGGATGATTGAGGTGAGACCGTGTCAATGGCCATAGAGCGACAACGCATCTTCCAATTTTTATGAAACTCCTGATTTCATGTGGGAGCGGGTAGGCTTCAAATTATATCGTCGTCATTATGAACAAAAGTTTTAAGTTTGATTAAACATTGGTGAAAAATTCGGAACTCAGATGTAATTTAAATTCTGCTCCAGGTTTCTTTGTGGTCTTAATTGTCTTCATGAACAAATTAGGTTAAAGTTGAGAAAAATTGTTTTACTCTTATCATGCGACTTATCTTTGATTGTAGATACGTATTTTGAGGTCTATTTCACGTTGCAGAGAGTCAATGTTAATGGAACTTGAGATTGGTGAATGATCATTAAAGTTTGTTTTAAAATATCTTTTATTCAGATGCAGATGAACATGTTTTTCATTGCCTTCTATTATATTGACACTCCAAACAACCAAAAGTAGCTCGTCATAGCCATGTATATTTAGCTTTCAGCATACTTGATCATAGATGGAGAATTCTTTGAGGAGTTTACGAGCCATTTCTTTTCATAAAACGCTAGTTTAAGCGCTACGCATGCTTAACAACCTTGTCAGATTTTAGGGGTGCATGCACTTAAGAGTGCATACAGAGGCAGTTCGGATCGGTGAACACTCGCGCTCAAAACTTTAAGGTTATTAATCTTAAGGAGACTTCAAAGGATTGAAGGCTCGAGGAACAAAAGTACACTGCAAATCCAAGTGTAGGACAGGTCGACACTTAAAAGCGTAGACCAGTTTGTCCTACGCTTGCAAGTGTCGACCAGTTGTGTCCGACGCTTCGAAGTGTCGACCACACTGTGTCCGACGCCTGCATGTGTAGGACACTGTTTGTCCTACGGCAAATTACACTGAGTTTCCTATTGTGACCCCACACTTCAGCCGTCGGACATGCTGTGGTCGACACTTGCAGGTGTCGGACAGTGAGTGGTCGACACTTCAAAGCGTCGGACACAACTGGTCGACACTTGCAAGCGTAGGACAAGCTGGTCTACGCTTTAAAGTGTCGACCTGTCCTACACTTGGATTTGCAGTGTACCTTTTAATAGCAGTGTATTTTAAGCATGCGTCAGATTTAAAAGAATATTCTTTATACGTTACGAACTCTTTCTATGAATCACAAACCGAACCGAAAAGCTTGATACCTACATAAGCTAAAAGTGCTTCTTAAGCACAGGTCTGCATCAGCCAGTTCTGGCCTGAACTGCCCAAGAACCAATAGCCTATGCCAACAGCTCTATTTCTTATGTAACACACTCGACCTTGGCTTAAAAGCTGTGGTGGGATTAGCCCGAGGATTAGTCCCTCTACGTGTGCCGGGACTGGAAATTGAGCTACTATTAGGAGGCTATCGGCTCTCGGGTAGTTCTGGCCAGAACTACGAATGGAGACCTTTGTTCCCAAGGTTTTTCCGGTCCAATATGTAAGTACGATACACCCAACATCATCGTCGCTAGTGCGTCAGGAATAGTTGCGATCTTAAGCACATTTGGCAGAACTATTTTTCCAGCACTCTCATTTGTTTTCTCAGTACACAAACGCATCCAACATGTCAAGAAATACTGACTCGAAGCATTTATCTGTGAGAGCTCCGACCAATGGAACTTCAAAGAACCGTCAGGAAGCTGTTGCATATTTCCAGCTTCATGTTACACGTACACTTCAGAACCTAATCTCAGACAGTTTTGAACTATTTCGCGTGAACCAAAGTGTATCACGCTTACAAGAGTGAACCACGAGACCACTTGCAAATGTAAGACGTTGTTTATGTAAGACGTTGTTTGTCTCACTTGCAAGCGTGGGACCCGTGGCATAGAACCAAAAGGAACCATGAGAATCAAGAGTGTGACTCTCACACTGGCACTTGCATCTCTGGGATAAAATAGGCCACACTTGTAAGCGTGAGACTGTCTCGCATTCGGCTTTGCAGGGGAGTCGCGATCGGTTCGTTCTTCCTCATCCCAAGTCAGGTCAGGTTCCCCTAACTCCAATGACATTGACAGTTGTTTACAGGGCGGCTGACGGTGGATATGAATGATGGTAATTTAACTGTCATCATTTTCCAATAGTGAAGATGACATCCTCAATTCTGTCATAACGCATGACTGCACTACAAATCCAATGGACAGACTTCTCGCCACTCCAGGGGTAAGACTTTAAGTTTCGCTCAGACAAAAATGTCTCACCACAAAATGAAGGTGCGCCGCCTGGACCGAAGATCACCTTTCCCGGTCAGACAAGAACGTGTCGCCATTTTGTGGCGGGTCATTATAGTCTGACCACATTTCGGCGAGACTTTTAAAAGTCTGACCAGAGTCTTTCCATGTAATTTGCAGTAAACGATTTCTCACGGTGTATCCGTTCGCCGCGGCCCTGCTGGCCACTCTGAACGGCCTAGCGCGCTAGGCTCCACACGCGGACGGGGCCCTTTCGGCCCTATTGCGACTTGGCCTTGACGCGTTTGAGCGCGGAGGAAGATAGCAGGCCGGTGCAGGCGGTGACCACGCGGCCGAGCAGCCACAAGGCGACTAGGGTGACCAGGAGCGCGGCGCCGAGCACGTCCAGCATGTAGAGCTCGTACCAGCGCAGCCGCAGCCCGGGGGACCGGAGGTTGGGCGCGCCGCGCGTGCGGGCAGCGTACTCGATCCACCACACGGCGCGCTCCAGGGGCGTCTCCTTCTGGTCGCGCAGCGCCTGCTGCACCTTCTTCATGTTCCCGCGGTACCTGTCGGGCAAGGCGAGGGCATGGCGTCACTGCACTGAGAATACAAACGCTACAGGATTAACTAACGGGCTGTAGGACAAACTAATTCACTACAAACTTACACTCTGAAAACCTTTCAAAGTATTTTAGGCCTTACGAAGAAAAGAAACTTGTTGTTACGAAGAATTTTGAGCACACAAAGACAATAATCCGTAATTTACGAGCTATTTCTGACTAAATAGTTGGTATCCTCACACTAAATTACTGTGTGGTTGCGTTGCACATAAATTCATGCGTTCCACATCATCATCAGCTCTGATAGGCCTCAGCAGACCTTTAGCGTTCGAGTAAGCAATTAGAACAAACACAGGACTCAGCCTGCAAACCTAAAATGCAGGGGCGGACTGGCGGTACTAGGGCCCCTCCGGGAATGAGTCAGAAGGGCCCCACTATCACCGTATCATAAACGAAACTTTCAAGTTCAGGAAAGTGCCTGTTTTCTCTTAAGGGGGGACCCTGGTGAAAAAATCGCCATAATTCCAAAAAATAGTATTTTTAAAGTTCATAGATAAAAATGTGCATAGAAGGTTTCAGATTCAACAGGTTAAACACCTTTAAGCTAAGTGGGTAGTTTCTTTATCATTTGGAAGGAAATAACATTGAGATCAGTTGTCGTTGGCTTCTACGCTCAACTTCACAGCTTTGCTCAGTCGACAAAAAATTTTGTCGTAGAAAGACTTCCTGCGTTCCTGGTTGACACCTACATGAGTCGTCTTGCATGGACTCTGTTCATTGATGACTTGTCGACAAATTTTAGTGACGGAATCTTGATATGAGCCCTACTTTTTTTTAAACACACCTCAAAGTTTGAAAAAAGGGAAAAAAATCACTTTTTTTTAAATGTTGAAATTTGAAAACTCATATCTCCGGACAGAAGTTGAATTTGATAATTCCGTCACTAAAATCTCTTCTATACATCTTTAGGATAACCCAAAAAAATTTTCAAGACTTTCCGTCCCAATGAAAGACGCAGGAAGATTTTTCCCCAACGCTCTAAAAACCACTAAAAAGCCACTTTTCTCAGAGACCGTTCAACATTTTGGATTGAATTTTGTTTTGGGAACTCACCATAATGAACCTAATAATTAAGCAAAGTTTCAACTTTCTGGGATTATTTTGAAGCCTACTTAAAAGTTTCACCAGGGTCCCCCCTTAAAATGTAATTGTATTTCCAGTTTTAAGTGATTTGACAGAATCGTGTAGGTAAAACGTCAAGGGGCGATGTGAGAAGCAAGAAATTTCGAAAAGGAAATGGGAAAACCTCAAACCCACGACGTTCTGGGTTGTCCCGCGGATTCTACCAAAAACGAATATAACTGTTCAAAAGGCAATTAACCAGCAATAATGGTGCTGGTGAAGCTAGGGCATTTGAGCTGTCCTCGGCGGGCCCTAAGAATTAGCGTCCTTCCAAAGTGTACATTGTGCGAGCGAAGCGAGCTAGAAGCCAGGGCTTTTCATTGCTTTAAGCCTGTTCAAAAGACTGATTTGGCAGTTTTGTGGCGCTCTGATTTTAGTCCTTGGCATCTGGGGCCGCAGACAGGGTCTTCGGGGGCCCCGGCCGGGCTGGGGCCCACCCGGGAATCCCCGGGCGCCCGGGCGGGCCAGTCCGCCCCTGCTAAAATGCAGGCAGTGTCCTGTTCAAGGCGGTCACCCTCTACTTGAGGCCGGGGGGGGGGGGGGGGGGGGGGGTATGGGAGCAACCTCCGTGGAAGTGTGACCCATCCCAGTTTGATGAAAGTGAGGTTAGGTTAGGTGCAGCTCATGCACACAAAGAAGCAACTATGTTTAATGTAGTGCTACTTATACTCAAAATACTTCTTGTGGTTTTAACGAGAAGGTGTGTGTACTGAGTTCAAACTTAAGTAATCTTTCAGTTTAGTTCAGTTGATGCACTTTCGCAAGAGTTCCTGGAAAAAAGCTCATTTTGGTGAGCCTGGAATTCCCCAACAGCGTTTTGGCAGTGCGCAGAAGTCAATATTTGCGATATTTTGATAAACATTAAAGAATTCGCAGGTCAAAGTAACACTGCTAATCTAACTTCAGTGTGAACCCACTTTGCAAATGCATGTAACTTATGCATCTCCCAGCATAAAATGTTCACAGAGATGTTTAATTTTATGCACACCTTACGTACATACCCGTGCTTGCATCAATATGCATACAAAACGCCCGCAAGAAATTTAGTGTGTGGTGACAGGCAAGATGTCCTACTTGGGGTTGTTGACGACGTCGGCCACCGCCTCGTAGAAGCTGTCCTCCGTGATGGCCTGGTACTGCACGCGGCGGCCGATGCCGATCTTCTCGGTCTTCTGCGCGTAGCCGATCTGGTCGGCGAAGAAGGGCACGCCGACGATGGGCACGCCGTGGTAGCTCGCCTCCTGCGTGCTCAGCCCGCCGTTGTGCGACACGAAGCAGCGGATGTTGGGGTGGCCTGCGGGTGGACAGCACGCGTAAATCCTTGCCAAGCATTTTGAGTATACTACAAAATCCACTGTGTACTTGGTATACATCAATAGGAGTGTACTTGGGCAAGTATACACCTACAGGGGTGTGCTTGGACCGCTTATCCGCCTTCACAAGTATACTCCTATAGATGTATACTTGCCCAAGTATACTCTTATAGATGTGTGCTTGGCAAGTATATACTCCTATAGATGTGTACTTGGCAAGTATACTCCTATAGATGTGTGCTTGGCAAGTATACTCCTATAGATGTATACTAAGTACACAGTGGATTTTGTAGTGTACACCTACACTTAAAAATCAAACCTGATCTACAGAACGTTTGGTGTGGTTTGTACCGCACGTTTTGTGTGGTCTAGAGACCACGTTTACACTGGTGAAACGAAGGTGAGGGGTCGTCAACTTCGTGTACGAAGTATTATAGTAATACCTACATGGTAATTTACAAACCATATTGCCGTTTTTAGGCCGCTTTTCCATGCTACCGATGCTCTAAGTAGTCTATTTGGTAATATTTATGGACTCTTAGCGGTAATATAAGAGTAAGATACAAGTAATATACACAGCCTGTGTACGAAGTAATGCAAGTTGACGACCCCTCGGTGGCCACCGACTTTTGACAATCGCTTCCCCGTTCTCACCCAGGAGGTCGTTCTGCGGCAGCCACTTGGCCACCTTGACGTTGGGGGGCAGCTTGTCCAGGATGTCGTCTGTCTCGTACTTCCAGAGCACGCGCTGCTTGAGGCGGCCGAACGCGCGCAGGATGGCGTCGCGGCGGTCCTTGCGGAGCATGGAGGACCTGGGGAAGGCAGGCAACCCTTGAGGTCTTTTTTCGCGGGGCAAACAGCTTCGACATTGGCCAATTGGACATGGCCAATGTCTAAACTGCACTCTTAAAACCTTACGAAGTATTGTGAGCATACATATAACAAACTAAAATACTTTGTTATACGAAGAAATAGTTCGTAAATTACGAAGTATTTTCTTTGTAAGCTTACGTATGCTCAAAATACTTTGTTATACAAACTACTTTTCTTTGTAAGGCCCAAAATAGTTTGTAAGGTTTTCTCAGTGTGCTTCCTGGGAAAACACTGAAAAACCAAACGTGGTCCAGACCGCACCACTGGTGTGGTCCATCATCAGTTGGTGTGGTCTAGACCACGTTTGGCCACGTTTGGTGCGGTCTAGGCCACGTTTGGCCACGTTTGGTTTTTCAGTGAACCAGGAACTTTTTTTAACGGTGTGCAAGGTTTCATATGGAGAGATCGCGGAGCATGTACGGACGTTCCGTACTTGGTCTTCTGTACATTTTCCGTTACGAAAGCACGGAATTTTTTTTTTCAGTGCGACCTACATGACGTTGGTGCCGAAGGACATGAAGATGAATCCGTGTGGCGCGTTCTTCTCGCTGACCCAGTCCAGGAGGTCCTTGGGCAGGGGCTTGGCGGGGCGCGCCTGCAGACCGCCCACCTCGACGACGCCGGGCACCACGGGCATGCCGCCGTGCAGCGCGGGGCTCGTGTTGACCAGGGACACGGCCACGTCCCTCTCCAGCTCCTCCAGCGTGGGCGCGCCGGGGAACCACTGCAAGGAAGCTCAAGGGTGAGAAAACAGTGCTACACGGTGCTACGAAGGAATGTCCGCTAAAAAAATGTCCCACGAAGTTTTGGCCCTTACTTTTCGTCCCATACCTAAATGTCATTTACAAAACGTCCGTTCCCTAAATGTCCTCCAATTTCAATGGCCTCCGTGATTAAGTCCGGCCCCTATTAATGGCCTCGGCCGCGGACGTACAGTAGTAACAGAGGCACTGGAAGAGCTTACCAGATGGATTTGAATCAAAAAGAGAGACATGAGGTCATGTCAACAGTCTTAAGATTGAGGATTGACACGAACTGCGTACATTCAGCGGACATTCCTTCGTGAAATCGGAACTCTCAGCACGTTGCTGACTTTTTGCTCATTTTCGAGGAACAATAACACTTGGTATTTTCTAAGTCAGTATGAGTAATTTCCTTTGTAAAATTATGTACGAAACCAAATGGCCAGTCTTACATTATTAAATATTTCCTAAGTACGTAGTAGTTCTTTTATAAAGGAAAAGTATGTATTATGGTTGCAGAAATTACTTGCACAGCGTAAGTACTGGCAAAATGAGCAAAAAGTCAGTCAAGGTGCGGAGAGTGCATGCAGAATTCTGTGCAAAGCTTTAAGCCCACCTTGGCGATCTCTCCGTTGACCCTGGGCCGGGCCACGAAGTGCACGTAGGTCTTGAAGACGACCCACTTGAAGAGGTTGTCGGCGCGCTCCCGGAAGGTCATGGGCACGCCGCCGTCCGCGCCCACGCCGGCGTAGGGCAGCATGGACGGCACGAAGGGGGAGCCCATCAGCTGCAGCACGTCCTCCGGCATGTTGTAGGGCGAGAACGCCACCACCGGCACGCGGCCGATCAGGGCGTTCAGCTGCGGAGCGGCCAAACCGAACAAACACGCATTAGCCACACTGAGTTACAAACTACAAGGTAGGTGTACGCCAGACCGTGTCTTGTCCTAACAGGCTTCGCGATGCTGCGCCAGTTTCGACCATCCACGCCTGGCGTATACACCTACCTTGGCCTGCGGCGCTAGCCTGCCTTTGGCAGGCTACTTTCCTAGTCAAACCGTAGAAATAAGCGTGATCCCCACAAAAATTAGAATTTAGTTATTAAAATCTTCACTAATGGGACTTATCTTTAGGTCGGGGGTCAGAATGGGCTCTATTTTCGTCATCAGCACCCTGCAGAACGTAGGAAACGACATGAAACTTGTCAAAAAAATGAATGTACCAAAAAAGTTGTCTTTTTTTCTGCCGTTTTTTGAGTGGTTTTTGGCTAATATGACCGAACGGATTGAGGTAGACAGCTGAATTTTTGTGTGTGGCGAGCCAAGGACGTACCTAATGACCCTGCAAAATCTCAGCCAGATCGGCCGAGCCGTACAGGAGTAGTAGTGCGCGCACACACACACACACACACACACACACACACACACACACACACACACACACAGACAGAAAAAGATTTTAAACCCCACTGGAGTAACGGGCTTCGCTATCGCTCAGCCAAAAATGTTATGCACACTTTTAGACCTATATGCACTGAAAATTGAATGGATAGACTGATGGCCAAAATTTGGTGAGACAAAGAAGTCTCTCCATTCTGTGGCGAGAAACAAAAGTCTCACCATATTTTTGGCGAGAAACAAAAGTCTCACCAATTTTTTGGCGATAAACAAATGTCTCGCCAAAATATGGCAATAATTGACTGGGATATATTTCCCGGTGACCAATTGAGTGGGATTGCCATATTTTGGCGAGACATTTGTTTCTCGCCAAAAAAAATGGTGAGACTTTTGTTTCTCGCCACAGAATGGCGAGACTTTGTTTCTTTCCCCTAGGATGGAATGAATTCTGTCCTTTGACTTTTTAGTGACCTAGGCCAAACGCACCCCGATGACGGTCTCCTGCAACGCGTAGTCGATGACGAGCAGGTCGAACTTGGGCTTCTTCTCCTGCAGGTGCCGCACCAGGTCCGCGAAGCCCTTCGACTCGAAGGCCACCCTCGTCGATTCAGTGCTGAAGGTGTACAGGAACGGGATCTCTTCCCAAATGCTTTGCTGGTTGCTGACCTCCAAGTCGACGTCCTGCGACAAAGCAAATGGTAAAGATTGCACTGGAAACTTGAGTGTGAACCGAGTACGCACGCACGTAGAGCACTTCACTGTGTACACACTCGATTTATCAGTGTGCAGTCTAGGAAGGAGTGGCACGTCCGCCAAGCCAAGAAGCCGTCACACTAAAGAAATGTAATGGAAACTTTTCTGTCCCACGAGTTTTGCAAGAACATAACGAATATGCAATTTTGTTGCTGCCTTAATTCTTTAACTGTTTGATGTCTACTTTGAATTGCACTTTCATTGGACAGTTTGTATCGCCTGGCGGACCAGCATTATGTCACCGTCGAATGTGCTCAAAGTTGCATAACTTGTGGGAGAAAAAAAAAAATTCCATGGCATAAGTGTGTTGCTCGTTGAACGATACACTATAAATAGGTGCCGGTGCCACATAGCACAGATTCGGAAAAAGCCGAACACGAATCAATCGTTAGAATGACAAACTGAAGAAGCTGTTTCTTATCTCCGTTCACTAATTTCTCCTTCTAAAAAGTTTTTTGAGTGATCCGAACAAAGCGAATGATAAGATTAATCCAGGAGTGGGCGTCCTCCAAGATGGAGAGTTGTGCTTGCTGATCAATGCTCTGAGGGGTTACACAATATCACGATATATTCGTAAACGACGCCTTTCTCGAAAACAATTGATCGTTGATAGCATTATGAAAATACTGATGTTAATCCTCTAAGGCTGACTCAACTTGACACGAACTACAAGGTAAAGGCGCTTGCCAGCCTCCGGCACACTCCAGATACTAGGCAGGGTAAGGCCTTCGGCCTCCATGCTGAGCCGCCTTATGTGTAGATGTAGCTGTAGATGTGCTCTGACAAAAAAGCTTGGACTTCAGAGTTTGAACCAAAGGGCTTGGACTATTCGGTCATTTCGAACGTTCAAATCTCCCAACAGGGTGCTTCGAATTGCTCAGCAAACATTTGAGGCCGGTCAAGTCAACCACACGGTTAAAGCATTTCCTGGCTTCCTGATGCAGGCAACTTCCTATCCCTTTTGCACTAGAACTTCAGTTAGCGTCTATATGCACAAGTAAGTGCATGCTTGGCAGGCATGCGCTAGCTAGAGCGTGCTTGCAGGCATGCTCCAGTAAGAGCATACAATGTACGCTCTAGCTAGCGCATGCCTGCGAAGCATGCACTTACTAGTGCATACATGCATGCATCTAGTGCAAAAGGGATAGGGAGCTGCCTGCATCAGGAAGCGAGTACATGGCATGCACACTACATTGTGAGTACAATTTTGTACGAGACATCACAGTTTTTTGTGCACACAAAATTTTCGTACAATTTTCGTACGAAAAACTGCACCTTTTCTCCATTTTCGTACAAAATTGTACAAAATTTTGTACAAATTTGTTTGAAAAGTTCGTGTGCACAAAAAAAACTGTGGTGTCTCCTACAAAATTTGTACAAAAACATTTATAGTGTGTATGCGCTAGTAAGTGCATGCTTGGCAGGTGCATGCTCCATTTAGAGCATACAATGTACGCTCTTCGATTTGTAGAGTGTGGTCCAACGCACGTGGTCCTCGGTGTAGGTCGGGGCCTCGATGACGAAGCTGGTCCTGTTGGCGTGCTTGACGGCGGCCGGCCGGATGACGAACTCCGTGACGTGGTGGCCGCGGTCCAGCAGCCCGGTGGCCAGCGCGTTGGTCCAGATGTAGTGGCTGGGCGAGGACGTGGTGCTGGCCAGGAGCACGTTGAGCGGCGCGGCGGGCGCGAGGGACGCCAGCAGCAGCGTCAGTAGCGTCAAGGTCGGCATGCTGGACTCCTATCACGGGCCTGCTGGCGAGAAGTGTACAGTGCAGTACAGGCTTTGGGGGATTCGATTCTCCCAAGTCATGCTCATGGCTCCGAACTATTTTCGTCACCAATCGCCAAATATGTTCTATGATTCGCTTTTATGGGGGAGGAGGCCAACAAACATTCAGTAAGTTAGCGCTTGGAACTTTTTGATCGGGTAAGTAGACGGAATGGACATTTAAACTGATCCATGAAGCGGGAGAAGGGAGTAAGTTGACTTATCTCCAAATTGAGTTTTTATCTTATAATTGTGCCTCAGGATAGTTAGCATCTTTCCACCAAATTATTTGACTCAATTCCCAGCAGTTTAGGAGAAAATCCATAAGGAAAATGGATATAACTCGACTTGAACCCTTTTACGGTCTTAATTTCATTGGAAAATGGAGTCAACTTAACCGATGTCCACATGACTCCGTATCACAAAATATCACAGGGAGATAACTCAATTTGTGTCTTTATGAATCTAATGTCAAAAGGGTCAACTCAACTTAACTCCAAATTAATTTAAAAAAACTAATGGAAAAAGGAGATAACTCAGAAAATGTTCCATCGCAATATAGACTCTACGCAGACCTCAGTTCCACTTGAGTTGTCTCCATATTCCATTGGGAGATCTAAGTGAACATGGTTCCTTAGTTCATTCTAATGTGAAGATTTAAATCACAGAAACCGTCTACAGAGTGATGTTACACTTTTCAAAATTTTTACAGTTATTACTGATGCTTTTTTGACAAAAATGCAATTACATCATTCATCTGAATTGATTTGATTTTCCCTGCAAACAGTTTTTTGTTTCTCCTGAAAAATTGATGAAAATTGAGTTATCCCCTTCTTCCGCTTCATGGATCAACTAACACCTTTCATCCTGTGCACGGCAAAAACAGTGTCCAGGTTTCCTAGGCCCGAGCTGGAAAAATAACCTGTTTTTTCAGGGTGGGCCGGGGAAACCTAGACACTGTTTATACCGTGTGCAAACAATAAAGAAAACTTCATATGGGTCATTCTACAGAAATGTTACAATTTGATGTCCCTGCCCCTTTGTGACGAAACGGTTCGTCCTAGAAAGACGCGGTTTGCGCGGTGAGATGGTGCTTTTTGTGCTTCAAAAGATCCACTATTGGGTTTGAAAGTTTCTGAGGTTTTCAGATGGCTGTGGCCTCCGGAAGGTGCAAAATGTAAACTCCGTGGCTGTCCCGATGCGTAGTTCACTAAGTTTGCGCCTCTCGTATGTCTAAACGAGACGCAGGACAATCATTCCCGACGGCTCTATTTGCTAAGGCACTTTTATACTTTAACTTAATCCCACTGACTTTAGTAAAAAGTTTGAAGCTTTGTGCCTGCACAGAATTAACTTTTGTCCCGAAGTTTTTACTTCCTTAAAATCCACATGTGCACTGTAACGAGTTTGGCACTACAGGAGACAAACGGGAAGTCACAGCCTCAATCTGAAGACTGCTATGGATTCCGGATGAAAAAACACATCTAGCCACCAAGTTTGAAGGATGTGAGTCCAATGGCTAGCATCTAATTGGTACCCAAATTTCAAAAAGGGGGTCGCGTATTTTTTTTGTATGTAAACTCCGTACCCGATTTGCCACGGATCCCCTGTGCGTCAAACTTTCGAATTGTGGATAAAAACAATGCTTTGGTGGTCCTTTAGTCAGCTGTGTATGCGCGTTCTACTGTTACAACTCATACGGCTGCAATCCAGGTATTTGCTTCAAAATGTAAACTCCGTAGGCGTCAATTTATGTAAACTCCGTAGACATTTCCCCTATGATTTCAGTGGAGAAAATTTTTTTTCTCGAAAAGTGTGACGCTTGATATCGTTTCGCATTCTGCATGCCGAAACAAGAAAAACAAGCCCAATATGAATGAAATCGGACAACTTTTATTTTTTCACGGTTCTAACTGCGAAATTGTAACATTTCTGTAGAATGACCCATATTTCTTCAAAATTGTTTTACTTCATTGCGAAGTTTTGACATAATTTTCGTATTGCATCCCTTTAGTAGTCATCATTGCTACATGACAATATTATTTTACAAAAGCAAAATGCGTAGACAGGGGTAGACAGTGTGTACCTGAGTTCGCACTTCATTTTTCAGTATATTGCAATTTGAGTGACGTTAGAATATGAATTCTGTTGTCACATTCCTTTGAATATGATGTCACATTCGTTGTATAACAGACGACGACATTCCTCATTGTAAAGAAAGTTACGGTTTTACCAGGGATCCGTAACTTATCTAAAAAGAGCATCATAACGTTATTATAGTACGACTTAAAGTTATAAAGTTATAACCCTTCACTTCTGATTTCTTTTCCAAAGAAAAATAACTATGTAAGTTATTTTTCTTGTGTCTCGAATTGGTGTGGAAATACTTTTGAAAGTAGGGTCAGGGCGGGGAAGAACTGGACAGGGGAAGAACTGAACACCCCATATTTTACTCCAAATGCTGTATGCTCAGGCTTAACAACTATCACGTAATGAACTGCTGATGCCTCTGAACAACTTTTGATGGTTGTTATGCCTGTGCATACGGTAATTTAAGTAAAATATGGGGTGTTCAGTTCTTCCCCTGTCCAGTTATTCCCCGCCCTGACCCTACTTGCAAAAGTCCGTACCCTTAACCTTTAGCGAACATTGTCTTATCTTACGTTATGAAAGCAGTCAGTTAAATGTTAAGGATCCCTGATTTTACCACTGCCAACCTTGCCAAGAGACAGTGAATCTTGCGACCGTTGCAACCCCTCTCTCCTCCAAATATAAAGACGCACACTTAATTTTGTAAAAAAAAAAATTGTACAAGACATCACTGTTTTTTTAGCACACGAAACTTTCGTACAAATCTGTGCGCGATTTTTTACAAAATTGGAGAAATATGTGCAGTATTTATTCGTACAAAATTTGTACGAAAAGTTCGATTGCACAAAAAACTGTGATGTCTCTGACTGTGTCTGTGACTGTACAAAATCGTACATAACATTTTGGTGTGCGGAGAGACCACGGAAGCTTGCGCAGATGGGTAGGATGTGTCTTTGACTGATTAGTGTAGTGTCCGCTCAAGTAACCCTCGGTATCCGGGCGGGTGGCGGCGTCTCATGCTGATTGGCAGATCTAGTTTGCCGCACTGGCGGCGCCCCTATCACTAAGCGCGTCGAGTGCCTTCAAGTGCACAGCCCGACTTCGTCTGCTTATCTTAACCGAACGCCGCACCGGCCCGTCGTCTTGGTAGTGGATGAAAACTTGAAAGGGCGCAGGCGCAGGAGCTGATACGAGTGTGTGGACGCCGTGTGGGTGGTCTCCAAGACTGCTGGGTCATCAAATCAAATGCGTCTCGAGCCCTAGTGTCTCTAATCAATTGAAAAACGCATGCCCAGTGTGAGCAGCCTTGGGGAAGGAGGAGGTGATTTCGCACTTTTCGGCCACTTTAAGAAGGATTGTTAGAAGGGCATAAAGTTGTTGAAGTCAAATCCGTTTAAGTGTTTATGAAACAAGTCGCATACACGCTGAATGTAATGTACAATCTTGTATGAGACATCACAGTTTTTAGCGCACACGTACAAATTTGTACGAAAAGTTCGTGTGCACACAAAAAAACTGATGTCTCGTACAAATTTTGCACAAACACATTAAGGGTGTATACATTCATAAAAATATACCCTCACACTGTGTGGCAATTTTCCAACACATCGGTATGGCATTATGACTTAACTTGCACACGCGTTGCCCCATGGAAATATCCCATACAACAGATGCATGTGTTTTATGGGATTTTCCCCTTCATCGGTGCAGGAGAAGTGCGGTGCATGATTAGAAGTTCCTGAATTTACTGTAAAGACTGCAAATTATGCCGCGAAATGACTGTGTTAAATTTTAATCGCAACGGCATCTATTCTCACAGCACATATTATGTACGATTTTGAAGGATACATCACACCTTTTTGTGCAGATGAACCAGCGATGAACTTTCGGAAAAGAATTAGTACAAAAACTCCACATTCTTCCCAATTTTTGTACGAAAATCTCGTTCAAATGTGTACGAAAAGTTCATCAGCACCAATAAAAACTGTGATGTCCGTACAAAGTTTGTACAGAAACATTTGGGGTGCACCGTTCAGTTGCCTGCGTGCTCCCCTCTTCTCCTCTTCCAGGGGGCTGTGGTTACGCGCCTAAGTTGAATGACAACATTCTCAGTTTCACAATAAAATGAGTCACGACCAGGACGTTGTATCAAAGAACCTTTCTCCAAAGATTTTCTCTGTTACATTGATAGTGCAACGCAGATAATGATTTATCACTTGAGGCTAAGAGTGTGCATTAATGTAAATGTACTTTTCTTAAAAATTGTTCAATCGCACGGAATGGATCTTGTGAAGGATGTATTATGAAATCCACACACTAACGTAGAATTTTGTACGATAGACATCACTGATTTTTATGCACACGAACTTTTCGTACAAGTTTTGTACCAAAAACTGCCCATCTTTCCCAATTTTTTTTGTGAGAAACCGCGTACAAAAAGTTCGTATGCACATAAAAGTGTGATGTCTTGCACAAAATTGGTACAAAAACGTTTGGGGTGTAGTTCGTAGATCTTAGTCGGGAGGAGGCAAGCGGTAAAAGAGCATTGTTTTCGTGAGTGACCGAAGTACAAATAGAATCACCAAACTGGGAATAGTGCCGGCAACGTGACCTCACAGACCTGTTTGAGTGCCTTTGGTTTAAAAGTTTTTCGAAGCGTCACTTTTTCAAAAGTGATTCCGTCTGTTAAAAGTAAATTTTAGCAAATGAAAGAGCCACATTTGTCTACGTTTCCCCTAAAAACGGGCTCGCATCCTACTCCCTCCCGGCTTCCGGTTTCGCACTTCCTGTTGCGCTTCACAACAAATATTACGTACAATTTTGTACGAAACATCACAGTTTTAAATGCACACGAACTTTTCGTACAATTTCGGTACGAAAAACTGCACTTGTTTCCCCATTTTTGTTCGAAACCGCTTACAAATTTGTACGAAAAGTTCGTGTGCACAAAAAATTGTGATGTCTCGTGCAAAATTTGTACAAAAACATCCAGGGTGTTGGATCCGTGACGATTAGAATGCTCTATCCGTAGTCGTCGATCTTTCTTACAATGGCGAAATGATCGTTTCTACGTACTTAATCGGCGATTTGACGGCGGCCCCGGTCCGGCTACTTTTCCTCGACGAGCTGTAACCGTTGTCTTGGCGCACGCACGTAGGACAGACAGTCGCCTCTCTGCCTTCTTCGACTCTGCTTTATACTGACTGCTCGAGACACGGCAGCGGCTCTGGTCCGATTCCCCCACCTCCCACGATGCCCCACGCGCACGCGCGGGCCAGACGCGCAGGGCAGGCGTCCGCGGCTGCGGGTCAACTAATGGATGACCCAGAACACTGACAAGTGCAATCTCATCCCAAATCAACACCTCATGTTCGATTATCACCGAGAATGAAAGAGTCATGATCATGACTAAAATTTTGGGCGAGGGCATCTTTATCACTCAAATTTGGTTGAGATGGAACGTTTTCACCATACTATGGAGAATCTTCACTGTACAACATTTAGATTGTTTTCGGTAGAATACTTACAAAACTTTTCATTATCCTAGATTAATTAAAATTTACATTTTGATGAAGATACGAAATATAAAATAGCGGCTTAAAAAAATCTTAGTGATACTGCCATTTTTATGAGATTATCTTTGGATTCTAAAACGCCGTCATGTTGACTGGACGCCTGCCCGAAATGGCATACGGTCATGTGTGGTCTAGCCCTTAATGGTAATGGTAATGTGTGGTAGGCAATCCTTCCTCACCCATGCGTGGCAGTACAGCCTACCCTCGGCTCTACAGGCGCTCGTTGATGCAGCCACGTACAACTTAAAATAAAAAATAAATTTAAAAAAAAAAAGCAAAGCGTTTTGTCTCTTGACTAGTACTTTGATGAGTACACATCTATAAATGCATACTCAGCTGAGTACACTGCAGATGCATACTTGGATGAGTTAGGTATGCATTAGGTGTGTGCTCAGCGGAGTATGCATCTGTAGATGTGTACCTAGCCAAGTATGCATCTGTGGACGCATACTGAGTATCCCCTTCAATTTGTAGAGTACAGAACTTTACTTCCTATGCCCTTTCTCTCCCTTACCGTGAATTGCTCATTTATGTGTTCTCGCTCGCTCTCTCATCGCAGCCCCTATCTTATCTCCCTGCTACATCCGAGTGGATTTCCGCGGCCAGACCTCAAAGGCTAGTTGCGCCCGCGTGCCCCGCGCGGCCTGGAGCAGTGGAGCATTCTGGTGAGCTCACGATCCGCTTCGCGAGCCAAGTCAAGAAGGATATCGGAGGTGACGGCACTGGTGAAACAAAGGCATAAATCGTTAATGCCTTTCGGAAGGGCATTAAAATTTTGCTTGAAATTCCTATACCATTTATGTCCTTCCCAAGGGCATAAAACGATTTATGCCCTTGCAAGGGCGTAAAAGAGTATTTATGCCCTAAAGGGCGTAATTTTTATGCCTTTGTTTTACCAGTGGGAGTACACGTGAAAAGAGGTGGAAAAGACATTGAGTAAGTTCATTATAGTTTATTATTTTTTAAATCGGGTAGAGCAAATGTACATATTGCAGAATCCCGTGGAGTGCGGTCCGAAGCTACTTAGGGAATTACCGGAGGCGAGTAAATCTTTGTACTGCCTGGTGAAAACTCTCACAAAGTAGAAACAATGGGGGTTTGAAAATTTTCCGATGGTTGGAGGCATTCTTTGTAAGTTCTTCAGGAATTTCCCAAAGGCTTCAAAAAGAGGGATGCAAGGGGTTTTTGAATTTTGAATTCTTCTTAAATTGTTCATTCATAAACTCGAGGCTGGAAAAAAAGTTGCCGATAGTCGCTCAGAACCATGTGGGGAGCTTAAAGAAAAAGTTCTGAGGCAATGTCACCAGGGATGGCAGAACGAAACAATACCAGGGCCGTCACGACGACAGTTTGCACTTTGAATAAAACTTGACTGTAGCAGCTAAAACCAACTGAAAAGCTTCTTGGTGATCAAGGCGTACCGGAGTTTTGTTCCCATATAGCTCAAGTCAGTGGCCATTGGGCGTAAGGGCGTAAGTCACATGCGAAACCCATTGAAATTAGGTTGTTCTGTCCGATGACTTCTCAAGTCATAATTCCGCTTCCCTTCATTTTGTTTATTTAGGCCCCCAAAATGAAAAACCACCAGGGAAGCGAAATTTGTGCTTGGTCCATGTGGGAACATAACTCAGCTATGCTTTGAACACTAAGGAAAAGCTTTTCCCTGGTTGTGGCTGCTACATTTTTTGAGTTTTAGACATAAATGCAAACGGTTCTCGTAACGGCCCTGGTATTGATTCGTTTTGGGTATCATCCCTGACTATATGGAAACTCAACGGTAAGAAATTTAACAATCCTAATGGTCAGAGTAAAATTCTCAACTTGGAGTCCTTAAAATTAAAATAAAAATTACCTCTGTAGCGGCTAGAATCAAGATTCTTTCCTCTTGAGGTGTGAGAGTCATGACTCTCGACATAAATTGGTAAAAGTGTTTTCTGACAACAATTTGTTTAAAAATTTGGCCTCACCTCAAAACGTTGCAGCTCAGTGAAATTTGCACAATTCAATTTGCAGTGTAGGCAGTCTCCTATCCGCAGTCACGTTAAAAGCTGCGCTATCGGTAGACAGAAATATTGGGCTGTTCACGGAGCCCGATAAGGGGTAAAGGGCAGATTGTGTCGAAGTGATGCCTGTGGCTATTAGAGAGAGATGTTGCGAACATTAAAGTAAGTCTCTAACGGAATGTTTCCATGCAGCCACGGAGGACCAGGTGGGGGGCCAAACCTTCACTACAAACCTGCCTGTTCAAATGATAAAGAAACTACCCACTGAGCTTGAAGGCGTTCAACCTTCTATGCACATTTTTATTCTAACTTTGGAAATACTGTTTTTGGCAATTTCGGCAATTTTGTCACCAGAGCCCCCCCTTGATACTGGCAAAACTCCTTTTGAAAGAGTGAAGGTCTTGAACTGACACACTCGGAACCGTTAGTGAGGTTCAGTTACCGGCTTTCTTTGCTTATCTGTTTTTTCTTGCCGTAGTTCCTCTTCTATTAGTAGCATTCCGGTCGATTCCGGTCCAACTGATTCTACTGTGTACTCTTGCTGTGCAAAGAAAAGGATTTAGAGGGCACGGACTATGGGCCTGATATGTCCTTGAAGTGCGTAGCTGTTACGGAATTCTGAAGACAACTGTTTTCTTGTCACGTGCCAGCAGATGGAGAATCCTGGTTTCGTTGAGTCCCTGCCCCGAACTTCCTGCACGGATGTGGTCTCGTTTGCCGAGGACTGGGATGACCTGTCCGAAGCTTTTTCGGGCAGTACCGCAGTATCGAACAGTGTCGTTGTTTCTGCACAAGGCCAAACGGTAAAGTGACACCAGGGATCGCTGTTCTCAAATGGCGCGTGTGGAGGGACAATTGATAACTGGAGACCAACCGTCTCCGTTACAATAGTGTGCGCAAGATGCATTTTAAAGATATAGCCAAAATAGACAAAAGTTATTGTTTGACTGGGTTCACTGCAAAGCCGGTGGTAAGTTTCCTTGCCACAACTTTGGCAAACCGTTTTGAATGCCAAAAATTGGCAAGCTTGGCCTGGAAATACTCCCCAGCATGCCAAAATTTGGCAAGCTTAGCCTGGAAATACCCCCCAGCTTGCCAAATTGGCAAGCTTGTGAGGATATTTCTGACCATAGCTTGCCAAATTTTGGCATTCAAAACGGCTTGCCAAATTTGAGGCAAGTTAACTTACCACTGGCTTGGCAGTGTTCAAAGGATGGCAATATGTGCCTTAATATCTGAAATTTCAATCATCCGTGGGTAAAGATTTTGTATATCTACCAATATTTACATTTTTACAGTAGGACTTGTTTTGAAGAAAAAATGATTAGATTTTCACCGGAACCGCCCCTTTCAGATACGGTGTCGTATTTTTGCACAAATTTTCTAACTTGCTATAGTTTATCCTTCCTCCTGACGTCTCCCTTAACCGGCGTCTTAGAGAGAAATTACTCCCTACAAAGTACATACTTACAAATGCACACTCTCAACATCTTATGATCGTTTTTATACGTATTACGATGGTTTTTCATCGTAAGGTACGCATAAATTTGCACATACGTAATATGCATAGATTTCAGCGTAAGGTATGCATGATTTAATCGTATTACGCATGGTGTCTTCATAAGGTACGCATGATTTCATCGTATTACGCATGAATTTCATTGTAGTACGTATGTTCTTATTTCAACGTAAGTTATGATGGCCCTTTCATCATAAGAATCTGAGGCTGCATTTGCGTAACTTGGAGTTATAACATAGTCGGCCAAGTACTGACTTAAAAACGCTTATTCGTAGCATGTAGTTATACGGCCCGAAGCATGCATTTGCACAAGAGTGTACTAAGTAGACAGTTAACTTTGGTCGTGTGGCCGGCACGAGAGACTTTGACGGACACCCTCGTTGCAGGCAATCGTGGGCGATGTGACGGTGACAGACTCCACCGACGTCCACATCGGCGCCAGGAACATCTTCAATGGCAATGTGGAAGTGACGCTGATGCTCGGGGGCCCCGACCAGCTTTCCGCGAACCCGACCGCCATCGAGACCGTGCGCCAAGCCATCGGCGCACCCATAGCGCAACGGCTGCAGGAAGAGGTTGCCAGCGTCAAGGAACCACCCGTCGAAGAGGTTTCGTGGCTGTCTAGTACACTCAGAAGTACGTGCGAAGTACGTTTATTATGGTCACACTGAAAAACCAAACGTGAAAATCTGCTAAAACATTTGAACGTATCTTGGGCTCCACACTTCCAACTTTCGTTTACAATAAAAATATTCGTCACAGTAGGCTCGGAAAGTCGTTAAACAAAACTGTTAAAACTCAGGGAAGCGGAATTTGGACTTGGCCCATATGGGAACAAAACTCCGGTACGCCTTGATCAACAAGGAAAAGCTCTTCCCTTGGTTCCAGGCGCAACACTTTTTGAGTTTCAGTCATATGTGCAAACTGTTGTCGTAACGGCCCTGGTATCGTTTCGGTTTGGGTATCATCCCTGGTCTAGACCAAACCAACTGGTGTGGTCAAATGGGTGCCATTTTGACCGCATCAGTTGGTGTGGTCTAGGCCACGTTTGGTGCGAAAGACCACACCAAACGTGGCCAAACGTGGTCTAGACCACACCAAATGTGTCCAAACGTGGTCTAGACCACACCAACTGATGCGGTCAAAATGGCACCCATTTGACCACACCAGTGGTGTGGTCTACACCACGTTTGGTTTTTCAGTGCAGTTGGGGTAATTATGGGACACGTGGTAAAAATGCGGCAGCTGTTTCTTAGTCAGATTTGACAGTTTATCACTCATACCACACCAAGTGTTATTTTCACAATTAAAGCATCGGTTTTGGAATGGCATGAGTTATAAAATATCAAATCTTGACCACGAAACAGCTGTCCCATTTTTACCCCGTGTCCCATAATTACCCCAATTACCGTAAGCCGGGGTAATATGAGACAATTTCGGGGTAATATGAGACGGAGTTTGGTTTGCGTAAGATTCACTCTGAGCTCGCTATTCGGCCACAAAGAGAGCCACTGCTGTAAAAAATTAATTACTCTTTGTTGGTCCCATTTTTCACCGTGAAGTTTGACAGGGATAAGTCATCAAATGCCACGAGCATTATAATTCTAACGATAAAAATCATGCGTCTCATATTACCCCGAAATTGTCTCATATTACCCCGGCCTACGGTAACCCTACTAAAGTCTAGGTACCTGCCGGGCCTCTAGATAGCTGACTATGGTGCCTCCCGAGTACTGTGCCACCTACCAGAGGTGACTGTTGTAAATGCATGGGGAAATTTATAGGCTTCATTTCAAGCGTGACGTCATCAAGCGTAATTTGACGCTTTCTTCTCTCTGGTATACAGCGACGCATAAGTTTCAGCAGTGTTTGCATTGACAGGAGCCCCCGTGCGTTGGTCGATAGGAGTGACTGCCGTGGCGGCGGTGGCGCTGCTGGCTGCAGTGGGATCGCTCCTAGCTTCGCAGTCGGACCCAAACTCTTTCGCCTCGGACGAAACAACGACCGAACCCACCACGGCGACGCCAAGCCCCAGAACCAACACGCCAAACGCGCCCTTGCCGGACACAACCACCACGACGGCACCACGTAGGTGCACACCGTAAGAAGTTAGCTCCGAAGTTTTTTTGGAGCAAAACTCTCTACACACGGTAAAAACATCTCTTTGGAAAAGACACTTCTAGCAGGGCCTGGAGTGAAGAGCAAGAAGAAGAACATAAGCCGGAAACAGTTGCCATATTACGCTTATTTCTTGCTGTCGAATGTTTATTCTCAATCCAAAAATTCAAAGAAGCTTAATTTTATAATATTATTTGATTTAAACCTGCCAAAACCCCCGAAAAAGGCCGATTTCTTGTACTGTTTCCAGTCTATGTTGTTCTTCTTGTTCTTCACTTCAGGCTCTGCTAGAAGTGTCTATTCAAACGGATTTTCTCAAATCCAAGGGAATTTAATCAAAACCAAGGGATTCCCTTGAAATCGAGTACTGATTCCAAGGCACTGTCTAGTCCAGTGCAGCCTCGTTGTATTTTATACCATTCTCGACGTACTTTCTACAATCCCCGTTACCGTTGTACCGTCAAGTCCCCTAAATGTGGACACGAACCCTAAAGTGGGACATTTTGACTATTTTCCCTATTTTAGGCTGTAAACGGCCAACGCGTGGATATTTTGCGAAGTAAAAAATGTTTTTGAGACGGTAGGACCCCTCCGAGACCATATCCGCAGAGAGTGTCTTGTTCCCGCTCATACCCCCTCCCCGAAAAAATCTTGAAAACTGGAATTTGATGCAGAAAAAAAGAGAAGTTTTTTCAGACGTCTAGCGCGGATTCGGGGCTTCGAGCCGTTGATGCTCGGACCATTCTAGACTTCAGACATGTTGTAGCGCGTTCTTTTATCTACAAGATGCACTTTAGAAAATTTGTTTCCGATGCTTCGTTTTACGGTGGGAAGCAATCTTCTAAGGGGCTGCAAAGTGGGACACATGAATTTTCTTCGTTTTTTTAAGGTTTTGACCGATTCAGAGGCGTTACATTCACCTCCAGCGTCCTACAAACACCGTCTGGCCTATATTAGGTTGCCAGGTCGGATTGGAGGCCCAGGCAGTCGCGCAAGTACGGTTCGGTACGCTTTAAGCCAGCACAAAATTCAGTTAATGTTTGAAAGCAAATGCTTCCTCTTGGCTTAACCGACAAAGATATCGTTATCGACCATAAAACAAACCTTGCGTAAAAATACTTTTTGAACAAATAATGTTTTAGAAAAAAGTTGCAGGGCGAACGGTTTTAAAATTTCAAAATTTCAACCTCTAATTGTTGCCGTGCATTTCGAAACTTATAAAATACGACCTGAGCAAAAAATTTCATCAAATGTTTTTGGTCAGAAATGAAATTTTAAGGCCATTTTGTTTTATTGGTTTTCGCCGTATTCCAATTGGTTTCGGCGTTACGGTGGTTTCTAATTTAAAAATATCTAAGGAAAATCTTATTGATTGAAGAGGCTCATATCTGCTTAACCAGTCGAGATATCGAAAAAGACTTCAGAACCAATCTTGCTCCAAATTAAATTTAGAACATAATACATTTTAAGAAATTTTTTGCTACTGCAGTTTTAGGTCGAAAAAGAATGAACGTGTCCCACTTTAGGGGACTTAGTCCCACTTTAGGAGACTTTGGCTCCTAAATTGGGACACGGTTCTTGCTGCTCCTACTGGAGCCCCATGGGCTGAAATTTTTTTTTGTTTTCGGTGAAAGACGTGTTTTGACATGAGGATTCTTAAATCCCCGGCGATTTTCGGTGTCATCGTTATTCTGTGAATAACAGACGATTTTCCGTAAAAATCGTCCCACTTTAGGGGACTTCACTGGTAGCCAACGAATGTGACATCACATTCGTTTGAACGTGAAAACTACGATGTCAGATTGAACGTGACAAACAGAGAAAATTCATACTCAAACGAATGTGACACGCCGACACGCCGCACCGCTTTGTCACATTACTTCGGGTGTGACAAGAAATCAGCAGGCAAATTGTCACATTAAAACGAATGTGACACATGGTACCCATTGACATACATCGTGTCACATCCAAACGAATGTGACACCCATGTGCTGTCACGTTCGTTTGAATGTGACATGCCCTAATTGTCACATTCAAACGAACGTGACACGCCCCGGACACGCCATAAGAGTCAGGTTATGGCGTGTCACGTTCAATTGAATGTGACAATTCGGGCATGTCACATTCAAACGAACGTGACAGCATACGGGTGTCACATTCGTTTGGATGTGACACGATGTATGCCAATGGGTACCATGTGTCACATTCGTTTTAATGTGACAGTTTGCCTGCTCTTTTCGTGTCACACCCGAAGTAATGTGACAGAGCGGTGCGGTGTGTCTCATTCGTTTGAGTATGAATTTTCTCGGTTTGTCACTTTCAAACTAACATCGCCGTTTTCACGTTCAAACGAATGTGATGTCACATTCCTTGGCTACCAGTGTTGACGGTACTTTGTTTGTACAGTTTTCGAAGTAGGGTCAGTTAGGTTTATTGTGGGACACAGGTTAAAAATGGGACAGCTGACAGCTGATTCTTAGTCAATAATCGAGATTTTAGAACTTGTGCCCTAACAAATGTTATTTTCTCAATAAAAACATCACGTTTGGTATGTCATGCGTTCAAATATTTCAAATCTTGACTAAGAATCAGCTGCCCCATTTTTGCCCCGTGTCCCATAATCACCCCAACTGACCCTACCTCAGTTTGATTATCAGTACAAAGCCAGGCATGCGCGGAACTGAGGGGGCGTAAATCGTTAACGACCTGTGCGGCAACAGTTTCTATGCCTCTGTTTTATCACCTTGTGATTTTACACTCTGGTGTGATGAACGCCCCTCTTGCGCCGATCTTTGCAGTGGTGCAGTGCGGGGTCAGAGACTGGCGCTGCGCGAACGGGCTTTGCGTCAACGCGGGGCAGCGCTGCGACGGCCAAGCCGACTGTGCCGACGGCAGCGACGAAGACTCGGAGGTGTGCGACCACAGTGAGTAAGAAACTTTTTTCCTTGATCGGAAATGTGCCATTCAAATGTAAAATGGTTCATAGGGTCAGGGCGGGGAAAAACCGGACACCTGCAAGTTGGGGAAGAAACGCACACCGCACTTTCGCCACAAATTTGCCTGTTTTGGGACGTGCAAAGTATTCAGTATTGCTTATTGATGATCTGCTAGATTGCGTTTAAGAGGAATTTAGCCTACTTGTACCGGAAAGTACTCAAAGTCACCTTTAAACGAGGTCTCGTTTAAAACACCTTATAAACTTTCAAAGTTGGTGCCCGCAATATCTCTTTTTAACGACTTTCCGAGCCTACTGTGACGAATATTTTTATTGTAAACGAAAGTTGGAAGTGTGGAGCCCAAGATACGTTCAAATGTTTTAGCAGATTTTCAGCTGGATTACATATGAAGGGTTAAATACGAAACGGGGAAAAACCGTACACTGGTGCGGGGAAAAATCGAACACCTCTTTTTTCTATAATAATCGACGAATTGCCCTAACATCCCACCGAAGTGGTCGTAACAAGTGAATTTTAGCATTTCCCAACATTTAGTGGGAAAACAAACACGGCTGTTGACGATTTCATACATTTTGGTCATTTAACCTCAAAGACGTGCCGCCACGGACCCCCTAACAATGCTACGATGATTTCTGTCTACCTAGGAATACTCGTGCGCCTGCTTCAGTGGGTATCGCAAGTGTTACCCCCAAATATCGTTCCCAAGAGATTTCTGACCTACTTTCATAGGTTTTTGTTAAATTAAAGCCTATGTCCGATTTTTCCCCTTAGGTGTTTGATTTTTCCCCGTTTCGACGGGGAAGAATCGCACATTGTTTTTTCTCATTTATTACTGAATGAAGCCGCAAACGCACTCGCTGAGGGTTGAAATGTCTTTCTTTGAGGCTCGATCAACAGACCCAACGGATACATTGGCTAAAGATAGTCAATTAGAGTCAAAATCGAGAAAGATTGCAAAACGTCCAGTTCTTCCCCGCCCTGACCCTAAGCATAAGAAGAAATCTGTATACGACTTGCGATAATTTTTCGTGCCAGAACCTAACATTTTCCGTAGCATTGCAATCTGCTCCTTAGGGGTCACAGTCCACAGAGGGCGTGTGGGGAGAATGCTGTCAGCACAGAAACAAGTCTACTGACTTTTTGCTCTTTTTGTGAGTACTTATGCAAGTAACTTGTGCAACCATAATACGTACTTTTCCTTTTTTAAGGAACTACTTAGGAAATATAAAATAACGATCTTACAATTTGATTTTATACATAATTTTACAAAGAAATTTAGTGATACTTAGTAATTACAAAGTATTATTGTTGCTTGTATGGATTCGTAATTAATGAAAAAAAAAGTCAGTAACGTGCTGAGTGTATCATGAAGCAAACTCCTTTGTTATACGAAGCATTTCTGTATAACACGAAGACATAACACATTACTCTTAATTCCTTCGTAACTACATAGCAAACACATCGTAGACTTCTTTTAGTGATCCCCACGAAAAAGATTGATAAGAGGCTATGGAAAATATTGGGTTTTGTGTTTGGAGAATAATGGCAAAAGAATTAACTGACTGTTCACCGTAGGTTTTAGCCATGTGCAGTAGCTTGGCAGGACTCGAACCGAGCGTGTGATTCCTTCCACCAATAAGCGGCTCGTTCAGAAAGCAATCCCTTGGTGGGGTCAAACATTCGATTCCAGTCCCATTTGGCGACTCTGGAGCTCAAAAGGCGTCTAGAATTTCGGCCGCCTCCACCGGTCTTCTGGCCCACTGTGAAACGTTGATTGAATCCCCCGTTCCGCAGTGCCGTCCACGCCCCTCGCCGTCGGCAAGTACGTGACGGTGGCCATCAACATCAACGTGACGGAGCACGGCTACCCCGAGTTCCACCTGTGCGGGTTGACGTGCGCGTCGATCGAGGTGTACGGTGCCAACACGGCCGGAGACTTGTACTTCTCGTCGCACTTGTACTGCCCGCAGGGGCGCTCCTCATGCATACCGGACAATGAGGTGCGTACCAGGGTTGGAAACCCTATGAATGAAAGTTACACACTAATTGATTGTGAACATTTTAAGGGGACAGTCTCGTCCCTGTACCCTTTTTTAGGAGGGTTTTTCCCCCTCTTTTGATAGCGATTATTTTTCAAATATACCTCTTAGAGACAAACGGTAAAAACCAAGTGAAAGAACGGAATTTTTACAACATTTTCAAAACAAAATATTTTGGTTTGTCTTTAGTTGTAAGGGAGTTATAGGTAATGCAACAAAAGCCGGCAAAACATACAAAATTTCACTGCGCGACATTTTTCTCCGGAAGTTCTTAACTTTTTGGCGATCGGTTTGCGGCGTTTTGAAGATAAAAAAATGGTCTTTACTTTAACCTACAATCATCCCTATAGCCCAAGGAAAACGTGTTTTATCAACGTATCCAAATATGTCTACAAACTTCGGAATGGTTTTAATAATGGTTTTCCTTGGGCTATAGGGATGATTGTAGGTTAAAGTAAAGGCCATTTTTTTTTATCTTCAAAACGCCGCAAACCGATCGCCAAAAAGTTAAGAACTTCCGAAGAAAAATATCGCGCAGTGAAATTTTGTATGTTTTGCAGGCTTTTGTTGCATTACCTATAACTCCCTTTCAACTTAAGACAAACTAAAATATTTTTTTTTGAAAATGTTGTAAAAATTCTGTTCTTTCATTTTGTGTTTACCGTTTGTCTCTAAGAGGTATATTTTAAAAAAATCATCGCCATCAAAAGAGGAGGGAAAACCCCCTTAAAAAGGGTCCAGGGAGGAGACTGCCCCCTTATACTTCGTTTTTTTTTCTGCATACTTATGCTTGCACAGACGCACGTAAGGTGTGAATAACACTATGCATCATTGTGTACATTTGGTGCTCTCCCTGCATAAGATGTTCAGTGATGCATAATATTATACGCACCTTTACGCACGTTTCCGTGCACGTACAATTATACATTAAAAACGGCCACAAGAGTTTAGTGTGTATCGCGATACACTCTCAGCCTTTTATTGACTGTCTCATCACATCAGCAACCCTAGTACGTACGTAGTTTTCTTTCCTTTTCTAAATAAATTGCAAAGAAATTTTTCAGTATTTATGAAGAAAATTTTAAGTATTATGGTTGATTACTGGAATACGTCCGCTAATGAGAAAATGTCAGAGGCAGAGTGTGTTTGATACGCTGAAATGAGACCCACGTTATGGTATCGCGCTAACGCTCACATTTTTCTTAACCAAAAGAGTGTTCGAAACTACACTGAAAATCTGTGTGTAGTCAGTACTCACTTAAATGCCCTATGTGTGTACTCAGTACACACTTTTCAGTGTACTCCATTTCACGGTACCCTACTGTCGCATTTGTGGTGCAGATAGAGCCGGAAAACTGGCAGGCTTTCTCCTCGGGCGACTACATGTTCGTGGCGATGCTCACCACTTCGTACCTGACGGTGTCGCGGCAGGGCTACACGGGCATCCCCGCGACAGTGAGCACCAACGAGGGCATCGTGTCGCTCGGCGTCCGACCGCACTACTGGACCACCGACATGGCCGTGGCCTTCAACTGTGAGTCAGGACATGGTGCTCTACAAATCGCCCATATTACGTGACCGATTTAAGGCCACTTTTTGACCCCCTCCCCCCTCCTCGTAACCTGGATAAGCTAACCTAAGTTACCTCTAAGCTAAGTATTTAAGATAGGGCGCAGCATTTGGCCAGACCCCCCCCCCCCAAAAAAAAAAAAAGGTCACGTAACACGGGCACGGCCACACTGGAGCACGCCTGCAAGCACACTCTAGCTCTAGCTATCGCGTGCCTGCCAAGCATGCACTTGCTAGTGCATACATGCCATGTACACGCTTTCTGATGCAGGCAACTCCCTATCCCTTATGCACTAGATGCATGCTTCAGTTAGCGTGTACATGGCATGTATGCACTAATAAGTGCGTGCTTGCAGGCATGCTCCAGTTGAAGCATACAATGTATGCTCTTCGATTTGTTGAGTGGTGTAGTCGGTTCAATCTAATTTCGTCGCACTTCGTACGTGTACGTACACTCAAAAGGACGGACTAAGGATGTTTCTTTACATTCACTCTCTTCCAGGAACGTGACATCACATTTAAACAAAAGTGACAAAATGTCACGTTCCTTTGAGTATTGTGTCACACTCGTTTGGATATGAATCAGCCATAAATTAGCTTAGTCACATTCAAACGAATGTGACTCAATGCTCGAAAGAACGTGACATTTTGCGAGATTTTGTTACATTCATTTCAACGTTATTTCACGTTTCCGTAATAAGAGTGTTACTGAAATCTGGCCGAGTCTTGTATTACAATAGTTTCTTCTGTACTATTAGAAAACACGGTGCAGTTGTACTACAAAACAATTATCTTTAGCTGTCTCATTTGCATTACAAAACATTTTACGACACAAGTTCAGTACGAAGACGTGACAAAACCCACCAGAAAACATGAAGACAATTTCTTTTATACTAGACTAGAGAAGAGTTTTATAATGCAACTGCATCGTGTTTCCTTGTAGAACAAAAAAAAATCTTCGGAATAAAAAGTTGTTCTTTGTACAAACTTTTAAGTGTAGGAGTGTAAAATTCCGTTGCTTGTGTGCAGCTGTCCCCTGTGGCGGTGGAGAAGGCCAGTGTGCTTCCGGCAAGTGCTTTTGGCATTGGGAGAAATGCGACGGCATCGAAAATTGCGGCGACGGCAGCGACGAGCTGGAGGACGAATGCTCGAGAAGTAAGGAACGCTGACTAGATGGGGCACTGCAAAGGAGTTCTGGCTCGGAAGAACAAAAACACAAGACAGTGCCAACTGTAAAAACTTGCATTTTTGACCTGACTTGTCCGATCTTTTGATCTGTACGTTACTATAGTTGAATGGTTCAAATCTTTCTATTGAAGTGTTATCACTGGCGAGGCACACTCGGCTCGCCTAGGGGAAACAACCCTAAAAGATTAATGCACCGAAATTCTTCGACAATCTTAAATTTGGGTCAAATGCCTTAAAAATTAATTAGTCAAAATTCAAAGAAAGTTCACACGGAACTAATGTCAAATTCATTGCTGAGCGAAGCGAAGCACCCTGTTGGGGAATTTAAACGTTCGTATTGTCCGCCCCCCCCCGGATACCTTTAGTTTACCATAGGTATCTTATCATTCAACTTAATCTTACACCTATATATGTATACATAGTCCGAGGTCAATAGTCCGAGGTCAATAATAATTTTCAAAATAAACACTTCTTAATTTACTACTGATGAAAATGCATTTCCATTTCCAGCAAAATCCAGCTCAGCTGCGAGGCCGAAGGCCTTCCCCTGGCTAGTACACTACCAATCCAAGTGTGAGACAGTCTCACACTATTTAGTGCGAGACACTGTGTCTCACGCTTCCAAGCGTGAGCCACGTTTGTCTCACGCTTCCAAGCGTGAGCCACGTTTGTCTCACGCTTCCAAGTGTGAGACACCGTTTGTCTTACACTGCAGGAAATAACCACAACAAGAGTACACAAATTTCTGGCAAATTTTTTATCAGGTTTTTATTGTACTTTCGAAGTACAACAATTGTTGTACAAAGTACAATGAAACCGGCATGACGAGTGATGGGCAGAGCAGGCGTCGTTGTGGTTTGTACAATTCTCGTTGTACTTTCTACAATCCCTGTTGTACTTTTATTGTACAGTTTTTGTTGTACATTTGTTGTACTATTCACACTTTTTCTTGCAGTGTACACTTGCAAGCGTGGGTCCTGTGGCATTGAACCAAAGAAAACTACAGACAGCAAGTGTGGGACAAACGGTGCCTCACACTTGGAAGCGTGAGACAAACGTGGCTCACGGTTGTAAGCGTGAGACACAGTGTCTCGCACTAAATAGTGTGAGACTGTCTCACACTTGGATTGGCAGTATAACTTTGTACACTGAAATTCAAACTGCCCCTTGCTGCTCGCACGCAGCCCCCTCGGTGCCTCTGGACGTCGGCCAGCTCATCACGGTCACCGTGCAGTACAACACCCAACTGTACTTGGTGGTGAACGTTCGAGGCAGCACGTGCAGCACTTTCACCGTCTGGGGCGCCAACCAGACGGGCTTTCTCTGTTACACGGCAGTCAGCGGTTGCGGGAATTGCACGGCGCTTGCGGCGTGCGAGAAATATTTTCAAGTGAGTAAGTTCACGCAATTGTCTCAGGAACGTGATCAGGAATCCTTGACTTAACTTAACATTTAAAGAGCACTGCGTTCATAACAAAATATATGACAATGCTCGCTGAAGTGAAGGGCACAGACTTTTGGAAGGACTTCCAAAAGTATTTCCACACAAATTCGAGACACAAGAATAATAACTAATCCTTTTAGAATGAATTGAGAAGTTAGGGGGTGGAAATGTAACTCGTACGATAACGTTGATGCCCTTTTGAGGTAACTTAAGGATCCCTGAACGTGCACTCTTAAAAGGCTTCGAAGGGTTTGCTTCATAACTACGAAGAAAATGAAGGCATGGTAGAGTTGCTTCGTATTACGAAGGATTTTGCTTCATAATACGAAGCATTTCTTCGTAGATTTTACAATGCCTGCATTTTTTCGTGTTACGAAGCGATTCTTCGTAGTTTTTACTGTGTGACATCCCGTCGAAACGACTGAGACAACGTGTCACGTGACACGTACGTTCATACGAGCTGTCACATCCGTTTAGATCCACCCCACGCTGGAGCATGCTTGACATGTGTAAAGCAGAGCATGCTCTTAACTGTTAAAGGCTATGAACAGTCTACTTGCGGGTAGCCTGGAGGCTCTCCAGGGTGATGTGCCTGGGGTGTAAGTTACATGCCAAGTTGGCTCCGAGTGGAGTGCACTTGCATGCATGCTTCAACCTTCAACCTGAAGCATTCTATGGAGACACTGAAGTTTGTAGAGTATTCGTAGAGATGTTATTGGCGTGTGATCGTGACTTTCTTTGGTGCTGCACGACCCGACCCAGTTCTATCCGGTGGACCTTAACATCATCCCCGACGGTGAGTTGGCGTTGGTGGTGGAGCGACGGCCGTTGGAGGTGGCCTTGTGGCGGGCGGAGTTTCCCGAGCTCGTCTACATGCTGAACGCTCCAAAGGAAAGAGAGACCGTGCTCGAGGTGCTACCCTACAATCGTGTTTTCGACATGCCTGTGCAATTCACAGGTAAGTCATATCAATACACTGTTAATGTCTTCACTCTAAATGTTCCACAGTGAAGATTCTCCATATTATGGTGAAAATGTTCCATATTATGGTGGTGCAGCTGACCTCGTAACATACCATTGAGAATTCACTGTACCTTATAGATATTTCGACGAATTTTGTTGGTTTTATGGAGAAAATCTCCACCATAATATGTTAATGCAGCCTTTCACCGTGAGACATTTACAGTGTTACGGTGAAAGGCTGCACCAACATATTATGGTGGAGATTTTCTCCATAATACCAACGAAATTCGTCAAAATATCTGTAGTATGGTACAGTGAATTCTCAATGGTATGTTACGAAGTCAGCTGCACCACCATAATATGGAATATTTTCACCATAATATGGAGAATCTTCTCTGTACAACATTTAGATTGTACACTGTCCCAGTTGGGGGGAGGGTTTTTGTTTCATTTCCAGACCTTCGCGGTACAATGTCATTCCAGGGACGTGTCAACACGTTGAAACGAATGTGACAAAGTGTCAAGCTCTTTTCAACGTTGTGTCACATTCGTTTGAAAGGAAATAAGTTCATTATTCACATCCAAACGAATGTGACGCAATTAAGAAACGTGGCGTTTTGTCACATTCGTTTCAACGTGATGTCACGTCCCTGGAAAGAAAGTGTAGGCGGACCACCCAGTAAATACCATTTACGAAATATTTCGTCATTATGGGTATGAGTTTTCCATGACAGACATTTTCCCTGTACAAAGTCGTTATTTTACGACAAATGTAGCGAAGAATAACTAGTTATTTTACAAAAAAAATTCACACCATTGTGGCTTGTTTTGAGTATTTTTGGAAGAATTTTACGTACAATTCGTCTTAAGTGTTTCACGAGAGGCTCGTATTTTGACGATTTAGGACGGGGACCACTTGGGTTGGGACCGGATAACGCCGGGACGTATTGTGCTGGGTACGAGTCGGTAGGGACGAGTTGCCCTAGACCCTTGCGAAATAAGATTATTCGTTGCGAAATTTGTCTTAAAGGGTCATTCCACGCCAAGTCGTCAAGGTTTTTAGGG